TCAAATCTGAAGCTTAATTTTGCTGGATACAGTATTCTTGATTGGAATCCATTATTTTTCAGTGTTTGAAATATGTTGTTCCAGGATCTTCTCCCTTTCAACGTCTGTGATGAAAAATCAGCCGTTAACCTAATTGGTTTACCCCTGAATGTAATCTGCCTCCTTTCTCTCGTAGCTTTTAATATTCTCTCCTTGTTCTGTATGTTGGATATCTTCATAATTATGTGTCTTGGAGTTGGTCTGTTATGGTTTTGTATGTTTGGGGTCCTGTAGGCTTCCAGGATTTGGCAATCCATTCCATCTTTCATATCTGGGAAGTTTTCTAAGATTATTTCATTCAATAGATTGTTCATTCCTTTGGTTTGAACCTCTACACCTTCTTCTATCCCAATGACTCTCAAGTTTGGTTTTTTTATGACATCCCATATCTCTTGGATGGATTGCTCGTGATTTCTTAGGATCCTTTCTGTGTTGACTATATTCTTTTCAAGTTGATAAACTTTGTCTTCATTATCTGATGTTCTGACTTCTGTTTGATCTAGTCTATTTGTAATATTCTCGTTTGAGTTTTTAATTTGGTTTCTGGTTTCCTCCATTTCTAGGATTACTGTTTGATTTTTTTTTAAATCTCTATCTCCTGGTAGAGCTCATTCTTTGCCATTTGAATTTGCTTATGTAATTCGTTTTCAAAGTATACTTTCATTGTTTGAACTTGCTGTCTAAAGTTTTCTCTAAGATTCTGTTCCATCTGAGTTAGGTATGCCTTGAGTTCTTTCTCTTTCCATTTTTCTGATGCCTCTAGGTTCTCCTGTGAATTTAAGTTGTCCTGCATTGTTTGTAATCCTTTTTTCCCTTGTTTTTTTATGATGCTCACATTACTTTCCAACTTTGTTTGACTGCTGTTTCTGTTTTCTTCTTTAAATTTGTTTTGTTTTTTATAGTTCCAATATCTCTCCTTTGTGTTGGGAGACAATGTTTAGAGATGTTGGATTTAATTGTGATTTAAGGTAAATTCATTAGTTTCATTAAAGGCCTACAGATTTTGATGGCATATATAGAGTTGAGGTTTGAATTTAGGATTTTATGTTGAGGTCGGGCGATTTGATGGTATGGAGGTTAGTATATGTTAGCTTCTTTGGGGGGTTGCTCAAATGCAGGCGGATATTAACAAGAGAATAGACAGGAGTACTTGGGGGTGTTAAGGGCTTAGGTGGACTATAGACCGATTTGTAGTATTCATCTATTTGTATTTAGTAAGTTGTACGTAATCTGGGTGGTCATGCTTAAGAGGAAAGATGGGGAAAAGGTAAGGAAGCAAACCAAGAAAGAGAGAGGGAGAGAGGAAAGAGAAAAGAAAAGAATAGAAAAGAAAAAGAAATGATAAAAAAATAATAAAATGCAGTAAAATAAAAATTACAATTAAAAATATTAATATAATTAAAAAAAATTAAGATTAGAAAATTTAAAAAAATTAAAAAATTAAAAAAAAAAGGGGGCACTGTTAGGCTTCTATTTTCTTCGCTTCCAGTAGGTGGTGCTATGCCTTCTGGGCCAAGATTTTGCCCTCCGGCTGTAGGAAACAATTCGTGTGAGGCCGCTCCCTCCTCCCCCCACTGGTGTCTCTCTAAACCTGCTAGCTTAGGTTTATTCCTTGTCTCTAGTCCCCTCGCTTCTCCTGCCAGCCAGGCCTTTCCCAGTGTGATACCTCTCGGCAGTTCAAGCTACATTCTGGGCCTGCAGTTTCCTGGACATGAAGCGCGGCTACTGGGAACAGGCACCTTATTGTTTTGATTCCCTCCTCTAGCCCCTCCTCCGAGAGCTGGCGAGACAGGTTTCGTTTTTGCCGCTGGTGGGAGGGGGGAGTTGGATGGTCAGGTGCCTTTACCTTTCCCCACGCCTCTATTCAGGCTCACTCTGTTAATCACGCCCCCGGAAAGCCGGGGAGAGATTTTATGGGATTTCCCCGATGTATGGGAGATGGTCTAAATGACACACACCTGTTCTATCGCTGAATGAGCTGTAATCTGTCGAAAACTGGCGATGGTGACGTCAGCTCTCCAAGATGGTGGCTGCTGGCTTCCTAGGTGGTCTGTCCGGTGTGGAGGACAGAACTGGACCGCTTCCTTCCCCCGTCTCAAACCCAGAACTCAGCCTGGAGCACAATGAGGGCACAGCCAGCAGGAGCCCACAGAATCTGCAGCACTGTTCCTCTGCGTTGCTAGCATGCCGTTTCCCCGCGCGCCACAGTCTCTAGCAGCGGGGTGGGCCGCGGAACAAACAGCTTGAATCTCCGGGCGCACGGTTCACTCGCAGTTGAGCCCCAGTAACCGATCCTGGGGCGATGGAGATCCTTCCTCTAGGTTTCCGTGCACCCCAATTTTGCTGGAAATTCCTAACAAGATAGCTTTTGGCCGTTCTAACTCGTTATTCACCTGCACAGTGACGCGGTACATGGGGGTGATGCACTCTATTCGCCGCCATCTTCAAGAACCGACTTTTATTTTTTAGAATTTTGTTTTGATGTATACGTTTTATGAAGTAATTACAGGTATCAAAGTACAGTCACCTTTTCATACAGTTAATTTACAGAACTTATTTATTGTTCTTGACTGAAACTTTCTATCCTTTGACCAACAATTGTCCCCTATCTCTGCCCCTTTCCAACCTGGAGTAGAGCTTCTGGCAATCACATTTTACTTTTTGCTTGTATGATCTCAACTTTTTTTAGATTACACGTTATAAATGGGATAATGAAATATTTGCTTTGTGTGTATGTGTGCCTGGTTTCTTTCATTTGGCATAATATCCTCCAGATTCAACCATGCTGTTGTAAATGACAGGATTTCCTTCTTTTTTAAAGACTGAATAATATCCCATTATATATTACATTACATTTTCTTTTTCTACTCATCTTTTGATGTACTTTGATGAGCACTTAGGATGATTTCATATTTTGTCTATTATGAATAATAGTGCAATGAACATGAGAGTAGAGATTTCTCTTCAAGATACTGATTTCATTTTCTTTGGATGTATACCCAGAAATAGAATTGCTGTATCATGGAGTTCTATTTTAAAATCCTTGAGAAATTGCTTTTGTTTTCTATAATGGCCATGATAATTTATATTCCCACCAACAGTGTACAAGAATTCCCTTTTTTCCACATCCTTATCAACACTTGTTTTTTTCTGCCTTTTTTATAATAGTCATCTTAACAGTTGTGAGGTGATACTGCAGTTTTAATTTGCATTTCTCTGCTGATTAGAGATGTTGAACATTTTTTCATGTTTGTTGATCATTTATATGTCTTTTGAGAAATGATAATTCAGGTCCTTTGCTTATTTTTTAATTGGGTTATTTGTTTTTATTCTATTGTCATTTGAGTTACTGTGTATTTTGGATTATCAGATGTATGCAAATATTTTCATCCATAGCCTGTCTCTTCATTCTGTTGATTATTATATTTGTTGTGCTAAAAGGCATTTTCTGAAATAGTTTTATAATTTGTAACAGTTTTAAACAGACAATCCTGTAATACAATTGATATTAGAAACAATAAACCTAAGCACTTTTAAAAATAACATCTATTGAATTGTAATTAAGTTTTGCTTTCTAGCTTTATTGGGTGAACTGGTATTTTATTACTGAAAATGCTCATTACGCAGATTTTTGTAGCTCAACAAAGTGTTGAACATAGAGGGTTGACTCCTGTAGTTGACATGGAGATGTATTGCTCAGATTCCTCTTTAAAGTAGGGATTACTACCTAGCAGAGAAATGCAGAATCCAGGCAGCCTCCTCTCCCATGCTTTAAGGTCCACCTCAGCTGCAGAGTCATGACCTCTTTGTGGCAGCACACATTTATATATTAAGCAGGCAGAGAAATCACAGAGTGCTCTGATGGACAGTACTTGCTTTAGAACTTTCATCTAGTTGGTTAAAATTTTGTTGGTCCTGTGTCACAGTTCTTTCTGAACTTGCTTTCTCTGTCTTAAAATTTACAGATGTTAATCTCAAACATTTTGTATCCCAAATACCCTATTATCTCAGCTTCAGAGAAACCAATCCTCAGTAGCTCCTGATCTCATGGAACTAGTTTTCTAGAAAGAAATTTACATAAAAAAAGAAATTAAAAATATAATCACTATTATATAGAAGCACAGGTAATCTGGGAGTATGTAATAAAAGGACCTAAGTTGGTTAACTATATTGTTTAGGGACGTAGCATGGTTTAGTAGCCAAATCATAAACTTTGGGCTTTTACTCTTTCCAGGCCAGTTTTCTCATTTCTAATATGTGAATGACACATGTTCTCTCATTTTTAAGAGAGATACTGGCACAGGATTTCCTATGTGATTGGGGGAAGTTTCCCAGCAGCTAGAGAAACATTTCAGTGTTTCACTGTATAAGTAGTGTTTCAGTGTACAAACATTTCAAGCTTTTTTTAGTGTAAGTTTATTGAAGTCCCAGTTGCGAAAGCAGTTTATATGGCGAAACTTCGATTCACAAATGAAAAAATATATTTCCATCTTTACATAGAAGGGTTTGTAAAAGAAGTGTATATATTTATATAATATATATGTAAAAATTGCCAAACAAAATATTTGTCACATAGTTGTAGTTAACACTTACTATCACTTCCTGGAAATATAATCCTTAGTACAGTTTGAGCATCTCTAATCTAAAAATCTGAAATCTGAAACTTTTTGAGCACTCCATGTTTTTAGATTAGGGATATTCAGCTGATAATAAATATGCATATATTCCAAAATCAGAAAAACTCTGAAATCTAAAACAAGTTCCAAGCATTTCAGATAAGGGTTACTGAGACTGTAAAGAAACAACTAAACTATTACTTTTAAACATGTTCTCTCAGGAGGATATGAAAAGAAACCTATTTAGAGAATATGGTATATTCTTTTTGACATCTTAGGATCATTTTAATGATGATCGTATTTTCAAATAAAGTAAAGCTCTCTCTCTCTTTTTTCCTCCTGCAGTAAGAAAAGTGGAAAACCACCATTACAGAACAATGAGGTAAATTTTTATATCCTCTACATTTTGGTATTTTATATACTTAGTTTATTTTTTGTTACACAATTCTGAATTAGGATAAAATCATAGAATTTTTAGAATTAGAAGGAAACTTAAAATATCACTTTGTTGTTGTTGTTCTGAGGATTAAATCCAGGGTGCTTTGCCATTGAGCCATACCCCCAGTCCTCTCTGTTTTTTATTTTGAGGCATGGTCTCTAGCTAAGTTGTTGTGAGTGTCTAAATTAACATTCTCTTGCCTCAGCCTCCCGAGTCCCTGGGATTACAGGTTATGTGCCATGCTTGGTAAAAATATCACTTCTAATCTGGTATGTATTATAGAATTTTTTTCTGAAATAGAATCTTGACTAGTAGTGTCTCATAGTGTTTATTTGAATTTGTGCATTCTGTGGAGGGCATTATTCCAATGAGGCAGTTACAACTGTTAGTTCTAGTCCATGCTGAGGTTAATTTACCCCTGCTTCATAACTCTGTTATGTCCTTTGTAGCTGTACAGGACAAATCTACTCTTTTTTCTGTAATATACACATATATTTAAAGATAGTTGTGAATGCCAAGTCTTTTTTCCCTTATGCTAAGCAATCTTCATTTCTTCACATATTTCTCATGTGACATGGCTTTTTGATTCTTTTTTCAATTCTGTACACATTCCTTTGGGCTTAAGCTAGTTTTCTTGAACATTGCACTAAGAGTATAATGTAGTTGAAATAACTTGACTGGCATGGAATATGTCAATACTATTACATTTCTTGATATGGATACCATAGTGCTAAAATTCAGCCTAAGATTGTGATTATTTATTTAGTCATAACTGTTGTTTACATTAAGTGAAGTTTATGGTAAATTATAACCTATAGTTATCTTTCTGATGAATAGTTCTGTTGGCAGATACCTTATATTCTGTATTCATCAGTTGATTTCTTTCTTTTTGTAATAACAACTTTAATGATACAATTCATATATACTATAATATTCGTTCATTTAAGTATGTAAATCAGTAGCTATTAGTATATTCAGAGTTGAAAAGCCATCTCTGCTATCTAATTTTATAAAATTTTATTAACTCCCCAATAAAATTCTATACCAAGTGTTAGTTACTGCCTCAGCATTCTTTTCCCCCAGCCCCTGGCAGCCACTAATCTAATCTGTTTTCTGTCTCTTTTGATCTGCTTTTTCTGGACATTTCATAGAACTAGAATCATGTAATATATATGGTCCTTTATGTCTGTCTTCTTTCACTTTGCATGATATTTTCAAGGTTTATTCATGCTGTTTTTGAATCAGTATTCTATTTCTTTCTTTCTTTCTTTCTTTTTTTTTTTTTTTTGCTGAATAGTATTCCATTGTATAGGTATAACACATTTTATTATCCATTCATCAGTTGAGGGACATTTAGGTGGTTCCATTTTTTGGCTTTTAAGAATGGTGATGCTATGAATATTTGTGTACCAGTTTTTAGGTGGATTTTTGTTTTCATTTCTCTTGGGGATATACCTTGGAGTGGAGTTGCTGGATCATAGGGTACTTCAGTTGGTTTCTTTTAAATAAATATTAATTTATACCTGTAAATGTCAGCTTAATGAATTTCACCATCAGTACTATTAGTGTACAATTCTTATATCTAGTGTATTAAGTACAAGTTATTATCTATACATTTAATTTACCTTCTCTTTCTTCCTCATAATTGCTAATAGTATTGACTAGGAAAGGACCAAGGAGATTACTCTGTGACATTTCTTAATCTTTATGGGTTTTTATTTTTGGTTATAATTTATTTAGCTGTGACTATATGTAATTATAGCAAAATTTAGTTCTTTTTTGTCCATTGAGGCCACCAGAATTTTAGAGAAATATCAAAATCCTTGATTAATTTATTACATCATTTATTAAGCCAATCTTTCAACAAATATTGATTGAGTCTCTCACATATGCCTGGCATTGTTCTTGGCTCCAGATATATGGCAGTTATAAAAAATTAGTCCATACTGTCATACATTCTACATGTCAGCTAATATACTAATACAATATATTAACAAAGGAGAAAATTAGAATAGTTTAACATGACTTCTTTTTAGTAAACTTGCTCTACTCCTAATTATTAGCATTTCTTAAGTGTTCCAAAACCCTATGTATTATTGTAGTCTCTGAATATCCTGAAGATTAATGACAAAATTTTTGTTATTTAGTTTCTATAATACATTTTTCTCCTTATTTGAAAAATGGAATACAATATGCATAAGTCCAGTTTTCTGGTATATCTCTATGATTATTATCTCTTGTAAGTTATATCTGAGTAATCAAAACTTAGTTATCTTAGTGATACCTATTACCTGCATGTCATATCAGCAATTTGTAGGACAGCAAGATTCATTTGACTTATTTTAGTATTTCTCCCTATTTTTCAATTTTGTACAATTTTGTTTTAACATATACTTATAGGTTGTATAGTGTGAGCAAGAAAAATTTAGATTAATCTAACTGACTAGTAATAAAAAATATACAAGATGTATACTGATTCCGCCTTTGTAAAATTGATAGGATGTGTATGTACACACAGACACAGTACAATGAAATCTGCAAGGCTATATACCAATATTAAGTTGATATCTCCAGAAGGGAGGTATAGGTTTCTTATTTTTGCTTATCAGAATTTAATTTTTCTTCAGTGGATGTATTCTTACGAGAGAAAGCAATTAAAAGGAGTTTTTTTAAAATTGAAATATTTTATAATCATAATCTCTGAGATGGGGTAGAGTGAAAGAATTTTCACAAGGCATGAGATTTAAGGATGGGTAAAGGATTTAAAGTTAGCAAATAGTACAGAAAGATAGTTTGATTTTAAAGTGTACATTTAATTTTGATGTGTGTGTTATAAAGTTCAAAATAATGCTAGGTGCAGTGAAGCACACCTCTAATTCTGGCTACTTGGGATGCTGAGGTATGAGGATCACAAATGAGACCCTGTCTCAAATTAAAAAACAAAAAGGCCTGAGATGTGCCTCAGAGCTGGAGTGACACCCCCGGGTTGAATCCCTAGTACTGTAAAAACAAAATTAAAAATGTATAAAGCTATACAATGTGCTAGATGTCATATTTAGCATTCCTGGGTATATTTTTATATTTTTGGGTTGTGTGGGTAGGTTTAAATATGTATATATCCATAAACTGTACAAGTAGTTTACGTATTTAGAAACTTCATAAATTCAACTGTAAAATAAAATATAGATATCATTCTGATTTTTTCCCCCAGCCTAGAGCCATCTCTGTTGATACATCTCTAGCTCTGCAGCTATAGCTGGAAATGTTCATTTAACTACTCTGTAGTATTCTGTTGAGTGAATGTGAACTGTTTCCTTCCCTATTATAGTATATAGTTTTCATTTAATAAATTTACCATAATTTATGTAATATTGATGTTTATTTAGATTGTATTTATTTAATAGTATTATAAATAGTGCAGTCTTTTTTCATTTGTGTGACTGTTTATGCCGGAATATCTTTAGGATAAGTTACTATAAATAAATTTGCTAAGTTATTTTACATTTTATAGTTAGTGTGCATTTTACATTTTGATTAGATGAAACATAATAGTTGTACCAATTTACACTTTCTCCAGCAACGTACAGTAGTACTTATACTCTAGCCAGCATCATATGGCCTTTTATTTCATTTGCTATTTTAAACATCTGTGTTTTTCAGTTAATTTTAGTTCATCTCACTTTTACAAGTTGATTGACATTTCAGTAGGAACTTCTCATTGCCATTTGATTTTTTTCTCCAGAATGTTACTTTTCTTTTCTTGAGTGTATTATTACTTTAACTTCTTATTATTTGTATCTAATGGTTTGTTTGCCTTTTCTATATAAATACATATATTTTAAGTACTGGGAAGTGTGGTAGGGGTATATCATAGTTGAAGAGCACTTGCTTAGCATGTAGGAGACCCTGGGTTCAGTCTCCAGCACTGGAGAGGAAAAAAAGTCTAAATATTGGGAAATTTAGAGGTTGGCAAAGTCAAGTTTGAATTTAAAATTAATTCTTAGGAAAGGCTAGTAGTATTAGGAAACATGCTGTCTCTGTAGGTACTGTATTCTTATTTATATTGGTTTCAAGTATGAATTTTACTGTGTAAATGTAGAGCATCTTGCTGTTCTGTTCTTTTCTCTAATTCTGTCTTTTTGAGCCAACCCCCTAGTCCAGGTTTTTCTTTGTAGAAAACTCTCTGATGACTTTTGGAAGAATGTAGTTTCCTTCATGGTCTGAAAGGTAATGAAAATCCAGTCAGCTTTCAAGTAACTTAAGAATAGAAACCAGTGACTGGAGGAACAGAAGAAAAGGAGGAGGAGGAACTAGAGACCACTTACCTGCTAATATTTTAAAATGCTAGTGTTACTCTCATAACATTTTTTTAAAAAACCTTCTTCATTGTGTCAAATTATTTCATGGCCATTTCATTTCAGAATTATAAGCTAGGAATTGATGGAGGGTACTGAGATTATAGTCTGTTAATAGTATATATTGACTATAGATGGAATGAGGTGAAGGGGTGGTGGTGACAGGAGGAAAACTTTGACAGTAAAAGTCTAATTTTTTTTTTAAAAGTAGTGGGTTGTATATTGCCTACTGCTTATTTTTTTCTTCCTGTATTTTCTTAATTTGGGAAATAAGAGATTTAGGTTGAAGTAGTAAGGTTTGGTTTGAGGATAATAGGCTATCTCAACTAGATTTTTTTTTTTTTTGGTGGTACTCAGGATTGATCTTAGGGGCACCTGTCCACTGAGTCACATCCCCACCCCTGTTTTGTATTTTATTTACAGAAAGGGTGTCTCACTGAGTTGCTTAGCACCTCGCTTTTTGCTGAGGCTGGCTTTGAACTTGCGATACTCCTGCCTCAGCTTCCCGAGCCACTGAGATACTGGTGTGTGCCACTGTGGCTGGCCTCAACTAGATTTTGAGTAGGATTTTAGCCTCTTTTGTTTACTGCTGTGTCCTGATCATTTGGTATACTGCCTTGGATCAAGTAAATATTTGTTGAATGAATAAATGAATGAAAGAATGTATGTGTGAATACAGTAGACTGTCAGTGTAATTCAGTAGGAGATGGTTTATATCTCTGAAAGACTTGAAACACTGAATCTCCGTACAGCAGTGATAGGGTGGACTGATTCTTTTCCCGTTCTCCCCAGCACCCCCTTTTTATTACTGGGATTGAACCCTGGGTTGCTTTGCAACTAAACTACATTTCCAGACTTTTTTGTTTTTTAATTTGGCACAGGTTCTTGCTAAGTTGCCCAGGCTGACCTCAGATCTGCAATTCATGGACCACTGCACCCAGCTAGTTCTTTCTATCTATCCTTTTCTTCAAGCTTCTTTGTCTACAATTCTGAACTACTTGGTGCCTGTTTATTAGGCTTATATAAATCACTTTGCACAGTGAAATACAGTACTAAAACTATTCACTTTAAGTTCAAGTTAGATATTAATTAAAGCATAATTACTCTGAAGTTTGTGTAATAGTAGTCTAATAGTAACTATGGGTATTTGTTTGTCAAGAGGATAGTACTGCTGGGCACAATGAGGCATACCTGTAATCCCAGTTATTAGGGAGGTTGAGGCAAGAAGATCACAAGTTCAAGGCCAGCCTGGGTAATTTAGTGGGATCCTATCTCTCTCTCAAAAAAAAAAAAAAAAAAAAAAAAAATTAAAAAGGATTGGGGATGTAGCTTCTGTAATTTGTGTAAGGCCCTGGGTTTAATCCCCAGTTAGTTAATCAAATAAGTAAGTCAACCTTGATTTTTGAGAGTCAGAAAAGGGCTAGGTAGGGATTGGGGTTCTGGAGTGTCTTGCCTTTTCTAAGAAGTTTCTTCTGCTGTTTCACCAGATGGTCTAAGGGTATTAAAGTAAATATCCTCTACCATAGGCTATTGATGTCACTGTCAATAAAGTAAATACTCTCTACCATAGACAATTCATAGATCCAGTGAAAATAAAGAAATCTCAGAGGGAGAAAACATCATTTTATCTTTAATATTTCTAGAACAATAGTCAATTCTCAGTCGTTTCTGTGACCTCAAGGCTCTGTCCTGTCTACCTTTTCACCTTCTGTCATTCTTGTTCCTTTTGCTCTAGTATCTTGCTGTTAAAATGCACAACAGTTTTATTCCCAACACTGGGTTTTTGCACTGCTGTTCCTTGTGCTTCACCCCCCACCCCCGTCCTCCTTTCCCAAATAATCATGTGGCTTCATTTTATTTATGTCTCAGAGTAAATGACAAGAGATCCTGTCTGAACCATTCTTATTTTTCTTAAGGCCTTGTCTAGTCAATTTGTAATAATTATTTTATTGGTTTCCTTTTTTTAAAAAATCTGTTTTCCCTGATAGACTGTACTGCATGAATAAAGGAACCTTTTCTGTCTTTGAATTTATAAGGAGGAGAGAGTGAATTAGCAAATTGCTTATTGGAAATCTAGGAATCCAAAAATTTTCTGATGTTTTTCAGAGAAAATCCTGTTGTAATTTTCTTTTTTGTAGTCTTCTGTTAATCAAGAAGTAGGTAATAAAAGAAACATTAGTAAGTACTTCAGCATTTCTTAACTCTTCTCTGATCTATCTACTACTATGCCTTTCTCAAAGCTCCATCCAGACTGGTCATTTTGTTATTCCTCAAGCACATTAAACATGCTTTCACCTTGTTATTTTGCAGTTGTTGTTTCTTCTTCTTGCTTCTAGATATTCAGATGGCTCCACAACTCCCTTCCCTATTCAGTTTCTAGGGAACATCTTATTTTCTGGGAAGCATGTTTATGAAGAACTGTGCAGTAATCATCTTGATAGTTGTCTGTGTTGACTTAGATGAAATATTTAATCTTTTTTGTTTTAACTGTCTTAAAAATGTTTTGTTTTGTTTTTTAAATGTAGAAAGAAGGGAAAAAAGAGCGAGCTGTGGTGGACAGGGTGTTTTTATCAAGGCTCACACAGATCCTGAAAATCATGGTCCCTAGGACATTTTGTAAAGAGGTAAGTCTTATGAAATTGTAATGTTAAATGTTAAAGTTTAAAGGTTTTGAGATTAGAACAATAAATTATAACTCTTAGGTAGTACTAACGGTCAAATGTTTTCTGTGTAAATAAAGAAGACTACTAACTTTTTTGTCTCTAAATTAGTCCCTGTCATGCAAGTATGCTTGCTCAGTGCCAGCTTTTACATAGTTTTCTGTTTATGAGATATTATTTCATTCTGTTTTATGTAAAATACTAGAGTATTGCATTATAGCTACCTTCCATGGTGTTGCTTCAGTGTTAAATACTATTATTAAAACCAAGATTAAATTTAAAAGGACAAAGCGTTTTTATAATATTGAGATGATTATAAGTCATATTGGTATAGAATATTTTTGAGGGTTGCTTCTTCATATTTAATTAAATATATTTCTAAGATACCCCAAATGGTATCTAAATTCTTTAAATATTTTCAGGAAGTGAGCTGGTTGTAGGAATAAAATTTTATTATCCTTTCTTTTATCTTTTTATCAAGATTATTTTTATCATTATTTGATAGACATTCTTAATGATTATTAAAGTAATGCAGAGTTCTTTTTCATTCTTCAGCATTCTACCATTGTGTAATTAGAAATATCATTGCCTTTGTCTCCTCTTCCTCCCCGTGCCACTTCTTTTTAGTCACTGGGATCTGCTTATTTTTCCTCCTGTTCTTAACTGGATATTAGTGTTTCTTAATTAGTCACACTTCTAGAATTTTCTCTTTTAAAATGTTTCCTGCCATTTTTATCATTTTAAAATATTTCCCATTGTATTTTAAAAAGCATGAGCCTTATAATGTATTAATAGCAAGATAAAGGTAAGATATTCCCAAAGCACTAGTTCCCCAAGAGCTCAGCATTCTTCCATCACATGGGACTCATTTTCTTTTGCTTGGCATTGTGTCCTTGAGAAACTCTAAGAAAATAATGTAATAACATTTTTTCCCTAAGTAGACAGGTAATACTTACTTCTTAAAGAAAAAATTGGAAAATGCAGATAGATACATTTTCTTCTCAGCCCTATCGTCTTCTCATTCATTTTAATGTATAGTCTTCTTGTGTACGAACATGTATTTTGATAAAAATGAGATCACACACTTCTAAAATCTACTCCTTCCTTTATATTATAAATGTTCTATTCGAGTACCTTAGAGTTTCTCATAACTTAGTTTTCCCCTTTATATTCCTGCTGTTTTCACTATGTCTTACCTGCATTATTACTTGTTTATTGCTTCTTTCTTTGTCCAGTCTTCTTTCTAAAACACATAAAAACATTTGGCTTCTTTTCTCTTATAGTCACAATCTGACTTTAGCCTTCCTTTCAATATCATCTGCTTAGAAGATTATTTAGTCTTACAATCAGATTCTTGTGCTTTCATTTGTTCTCAATGTCTTCTAACATCCTGCCCTACCACTCCCCAAGCCAGATATGTTAAAAAAATAAAAATAAAACTTAATACTTGTTACCTGCTTTGTGAAGATTTCTTATAACTCTTTAGGCACAATGTATTGTTTTCTGTGTTCTACACCTAACTGGCTTTGAAGAATCTCTATTGGAAATGCAAGTTTCTCTAGAAAGATTGGCCTCTTACTCACTAGAAACTTAGCAGCTCAGTGCTTACTTTGCCGATTGCAGGTGTGCTGCATGTACAGTGAGTTCTTCAGGGCACTGTGGATAATCCCCCAGGAGTCAATGAGGAGGTAGAAAGGTCTTACTTGACTAGTTTCCCAGTTGTGTTTAGATCTAGTTATGTCACAGAGTCATTTTATATACTGTCTTTGAGGGATGTAAAAATTTAGGTTTAACCGCAGTTCAAGGAAGCAGAATAAACTCCCTTAGAAGTATAGAAAATGGAAGAGAGAGAGAGAGAGAAATGAAAATACAGCACATATGAATGTGTGGAAGTTGGTACGAAAGTTGAGAGATGGATTGCTTAAACCAGTGCAGATCTTTAGTTTCTATTGCATGCACACATTAGTAATAGGGAATAGTGGTAATTTTAAGGATATCCTTTGTATGAAGGCATTTCACAATTGTCTAGTTCACCAGATTTTGTGATAGTGAGACAAGTAGACTTGATACTCATGTAAAGAAAAAATGAGCCAAGAATATAAAGTGAAGGAAAACATTAACGGTCTAATGTTTTCTTTGTACCTTAATGATTACTTTAGAGTTGAGACTGTATTTAAAGTTGGTATTATCATAAGTTAAATTGACATCTACAGTTAGCATTTATTAAATGAACATGTATACATGTAACATTTAATAAATGCTAACTGTAGATGTCAATTCTTTAGGTTCTTCTGTTGTCATTTAAATACTTTGGGATGTTGGGATAGGGTAGGAAGGTGATATCTTTCTAGCTAACTCTGGCAAACATTGGGGTAGCAGCTGCCACAGCTCATTTACATAATTTCTTTGATGTAATAACTTCTGTGCTATGACCCTCTGCCTTGTCTTTCACTTTCAAGGGCCATATTCCAATATATTCACCTTTTAAAAAACAATGTTTGTTTCACAAAAAGTATATAAGTAATAGATGGAGTTGTCCTTCACTTCAATAACTTTGAACACAGTATCCAACAACCTCCTTCCTCCTATTCCCTAGGTCCTTTCCCCAACTTTAGCTTGTATGTTACTCTCATATTCTTCCAATTTAGGAGTTTTCAAAGATCAGCTTTGAATTTGTTTATTGATGGGGGAGGAGGGAGTGGTGTCAGGATTCTCATCTCTTCCTGCTTCATGATCTATCTTGCACAGCATTGCTTAAGTAACATTCTCAGAATATCTCTTTTTAACATTTTGTTCTACTTAGTAGCAGCTTACAGTGATTTCGTATTGACTTTAAATTTGGCTCTATATGCAACACCATACTTCATATGGTTTTAATCTTTTTTCCCACCATTAAATTCTTCACCTGTTCTTTTTACCTGTAATCTCAGTTGTCATCTTTGTTTTACTTAATTTATTTAATGTATTTCTATGCTGTAACTGTCTTTGCTACTCCACACCTTTCCATCCTATCACTTTTTATACGAAGTTTCACAAGTGTACTCGCTTGAATTTGTCTATTTTCTTGTTATTTTTTTATGTGTAAATCTTACCATAATAACTCAGGGATCCATTTTTGAATTCCAGATGAGAGAGATTAAATGATCTATAAGGCCTTTTCCATTTATTTTATAACTTTAAGTTTCCTTTTAGGCTATGTTTAAAAATCGCTGATAGCTAAAATGTAGTTCAACTGTATTAAGGTACAAGAAAGCTTTAAATTTTGAAACCAAAAATCTTTACCAGGTAATTGTCCTTTTAACTTTTACAAATGCATTTAATTTGTAATACTTGGATTTATTTTAGACAGGATACTTGATACTTATTGCTGTTATGCTGGTGTCTCGAACATATTGTGATGTTTGGATGATTCAAAATGGGACACTCATTGAAAGGTACTTGTCCATTCACCTTCCTTGTGTAAATACATATATATATATGTGAAATACTAATTGTCTCATATTTAAGCTTTGTCTTATAAAACAAAAAATATTTATAGACAAAAATAAAAATATTTATTAACAAAAATTCTAAATCAGGCAAAGGATACTTAAGTCAAATTATGTGTTTGTTTATTTAAAATGTTTTGTTTCCCACGTTCCAGGCACTGTGCTACGTGATAATAGGGATATATATATATATATATATATATATATATATATATATATATATACACTCCAAGAAAGAGGAGAAATTCTGTACCAAGGCTTGATGAGCTGACATTTTATAGGGAATTAGAGACAACTAATCTCAAAATTAAAGTACAGTACAAGTGCAATCATAGGAATTTAAAAGAGCCACCAAGTGGGATATCTGAAATGAATAATATAATTTTTTTGGAAAAATCAAAGCATTTCAGTGAATTACATTGAACATGTTGATTAGAAGGAAATAATACTTAGACCTTTTTTCTGCTTTTGAATTTAGTATTTTTAAAAAATTTTTTCATCATATTCTTTCTATATGTTATTAATCACAAGAATTGATAATTTTGTTTTAACAACTTCAGAAATGCTAGATTGGATATGGTTGTTATAACCATTCACCATTTGTCTTTTAATGAGGAATGTATTATGATACCAAATGAATGTCAAAAGTTTTTTTTCTTGTCAGAAAATTTTTAAAAATACTTAATATAAGCTAACTTTTTGAATGAGACACCTAAATTTTGACTTATTTTTCTAGGAGAATAAAGAAGTTTAGCTGCAGAGGATTAAAGCCCTTAAATTAAGCACATACCTCTGAATATAGGTAAATTATGTAGGTTTTAAATTTAACACAAGCCTCCCTAAAACTATTAGTAAGTCCTATTCTTTTCTATTTTAATCATAGTGAAATATGAACATAGCTCAATGTTAAATGTCTCAGGTGCTTCTAATTGCAGCAAAGGTTAAAGGTTACTTTATTACAAAACAATCCTGTGGTTTAGGCTTCCAACTGCCATTACTCAGAGCCAGTTGTTTTCCATTCTTTTTACTGTTTCATTTTATTTCTGTGTTTTGGCATAACATACTTGTATTTCTGTCTATAGATTCTTTCAGTTGTAAAATGTATGTATACATTTCTTATTTTGGGATGAGAAAATTAGCTCTTTCATATTCCTGTTGATACCCAAGATCATATTCTCAATGTCATCTTGCAATTTTTGTTAAATTTGTATTTATTGGTTACATGATATTGACTATTGTTTACAGCTGAGCCACATGCTTAAAAAACATTTTTGTTTTTGGTCCTTGCATTTATAAATTTCAAAGTTTTGTTTTGTGCACTTTTAATATTTTGCCTACTGTTAAAATTTAGCTCAGACCTTTTGACAAAACTGTAAAATCTTCACAGCATTATAGTATGTCAAAGGTAGTAGGTAATCTCTCAGTTTTATGTCTGTGTTTCCACCTCTACCCTATGTCCCTTTAGTTTCCTATCTTGCTGCTCTAATTAGTATTGATTCTACTTTAGACCCCCTGAATAGCAGTTATTTTGAATTGGCTTTTTTATTTTTGGATATAAGTATTGTACCAGGGCCTTGCACAAGCTTGGTAAGAGCTCTATCTCTGAGCTAGCTTCCCAGTCCTTTTTATTTTGAGACAAGATCTTACTAAGTTGCTCAGTCTAGCCTTGAACTTGAGATCCACCTTCCTTAGCCTCCTGAGTCACCAGGATTATATGTGTGTGCCACCATACTCAGCTTGACTTACTTTTATAATTATTTGGGGAATGAATTTCTTTTTTTGGTATTGGGGATTGAATCCAGAGGCACTGAGTCACATCTGGAGCCACTTTTATTTTTTATTTTGAGACAGGATCTCACTAAATTGCTTAGGCCTTTGCTAAGTTGCTGAGGCTGGCTTTGAACTCTAGCTGTTCCTGACTCAGCCTCTGGAGCTGCTGGGATTAAAGGCTCATGCCATGGCACCTGGTTGGAATGAATTTCTTTCATTTTTCTCTCTTGAAATAAATAACCTATTTTCTGGATCTTTTAATGTTTTCTTTCTCAGTTTATTTTCTTATTTTGACAGTTTTTTTTTTTTTTTTCTGAGAAGAGCTACAAAGGAGATAATTTTTGAGACCTTGTAGATCTGAAAATGTCTTTCTTTTGCTTTCACACTTGATTGATAATTTAGATGTATTTATGTATTCCAAGCTGGAAATTACTTTACCTCAGCATTTTGAAACCATTTTTCTTGGTTTTTATCTCCCAGCCTTGGTTGCAGAATGATGGGAATCATATGGAGAATTTTTTTTCCCAGTTTTCAATTTTTTAATTTTATTTTTTAAATACATGGCAGCAGAATGCATCACAATTCTTATTACACATATAGAACATAATTTTTCATATCTCTGTTTGTATATAAAGTATTTTCACACCAATTCTTGTCTTCATATATGTACTTTGGACAGTGATGTCTATCACATTCCTCATATGGAGAATTTTAAAAACTGCTAATGCCTGAGCCTCACCCATAGAGATCCTGCTTCAGTTAGTCCTCACTTGTTGAAATGTCTTAGGTGCTTCTAATTGTAGCAAAGGTTAAAAAACACACACCTTGACTTTTATCAACATCATCAATATCACTATGGAATTTTGTCCTTTTTCTTAAAATGAAATATGCTGCCTTAAGTGATTCAGCTTATTTAATTACACTTAATGAGGTTGCTAAATATGTCTGATACATGTTATAAATAAATATTTAAGAATTTTAAAAATCTATATACCCACATTGGGTCTTGAGGCCTATTGTCATTCTCATTTTTATTTTTTAATGTTTAGATATTACTGTACTTGAAAATTTCACTAAACATTGGTGTGAATTTTTTTCATCATTTTTTGTGCTGGTCATGAGGTGGGCTCATTTTAATTTGGGAACTCATTCTTCATTCTGGGAATATTTTTTTTTTGTTTTTTTTTTTTTAAAAATTCTTCCTCTTTTTTTTTTTTTTTTTAAATCTTTAGTTGAGAGTTGAATCCCAGACTGATCACCTGTATATTTTTAAATTTCTATTTTCAACTGTGACATTTTATTCTCTTTTCTGGGACATTATTATCCAGTGAATTTTTGTTACAGTTTTCTTTCTTTTCTAAAAAGTTTTCTCTTTCCACTTTTTTTGTGCATTATAGTTATACATAATGATGGGATTTGTTATTATATATTCATACATGTACACAATATAATTTTATTTCTAAGATTTCTCTTGCACGTGGATGTTTCTGTAGCAATCATATTTTCAAATATGCAATATTTTTCATCTCAAGCTATTAATTAAGTTTTTAAAAGTATATTTTGTTTTAGTGTTTTTTCTTTCATGGTCCTTTGTTATTCTGGTCTTTTCTCAAGTATTCTGTGGCTCTTGACAAGTGAATTCATATTTAAAAGTGAAGATCTTAAAAAGCAGGAATAAAGGCTTGTTGATTGTCTGGTCTCCCTTGAAGGGTGTATGTAAGAGCCTTTTTATGTATATGTGTCCTAGTGAGGAATCCTCTAACATATTCAAAGAAGTAAAACATAAGCATAAGTGAAATATTTGTTCATTGCTGCTAGTATATTAGCTTGAGGAAAATCAATTTTATTGCTAAGTTCTGTTTTTATAAACTGCGTGCACAAGTAATCTGAGACCTTAAGTAACTGATAGATAGAAGACATTTATGTCCTTTCATGTGAGTTGTAAAATTTAATTTTTTCCTTTGATAATTTTATCTGTGACTTTAAATGCCTTACATTTTGATAAAAATATAGTCTCCCCAATTATAATATTGTTAATTGCCTTGTGGCAAAAATATATAGGTTACATCCACTATTGAACAACATATTAGGTATCTGTGTAGAATCAGCCACATATTATTTATAAAGAACCCTGAACAGTAATAGAATAGATTAGAAAATTACTTTATTTTTGAAAGTTTTTTTTTCCCATTTTATTCAGGCTTTGTGATTTCTTACTTTAGTAATCCAAAAGAATAATACTTTTTTTTTTGTACACTAGGGATTTCCAACTTTAATTGAATACACAATAACTTTAATTTTGTTAAATACTAATAACCTGGAAAAAATATACAGCCAAGAGTAGGTAATATATTAATTGGTAATGATGCACAAGAAGAAAGTTACTATGTAGCATTAGCCAGTTTATTATTCTACTAGATAGTCAACCTACTGGATACTCAGTTTTAAATTTTAGTTACAACTGGGTCTGGTGGCACACCTGTAATCCTAGCTACTGGGGAGGCTAAGACTGGAGGATCCTGGCTGAGTTTTAGTCCAGCCAGGCAATACAGTGAGACCCTGTCTTAAAATAAAATAGAGATTTTTAAAAAGTGTTTTATTTTTTTCTGAAATTTCTTAAGGTATTTTGATATTCAAACATATAAAGTAGCTGCAAGAATAGTACAAGAAATTTCCTCATCTTCTTAACCTACATTCACCAATTATAAAATAGTAATATTAAAGTTGTTGATTTTCTACTAAGTAAATATTTTTGAGACTCTGTTATGTATGAGATCTTTGATATTTGGTTAAATATTTTTAATATTTGGTCAAATTAAAAAGTATTAAAATATTGTGCATTCATAATGTGAGGCAGTTTTATTTGAATAATTAATACATTTCTCTTTATGACTATTAAAAGCACATTGTCAAAGGATTTATCGGTCTTTTATTTTTTGCCTCTTCCAGTGCAGGTCTGTTTTCATGTATTTCTGCTAAAAAGAGTCTCCAAAAGACTTGTTCTTAATGCATTTTAATATTCTTTGTATAAGTTCATTTGTTGTAGAGTCTGATGACTTCATAGCATAGACAGATCTTAGTCGGATATGTCTTTAGGTAGAAATTATAATAATTCAATAAATGTAGACATGGAGGCGAATCCTTCTTAACATGTTGCTGCTTTATCTCATCATAAAGATATATTTTGTTTTCAACCATTTGGCTAAAAGCATTCTAAAATTTATCAAAGTATCTTTTGTAAAAAGTCCTTATACATTTTGGAAGTAATAAAGATTAGGACTACTAATAAAAATTTTCTTTGTTAATTATTATTTTTTTCTTGCAGTGGAATAATAAGCAGAAATAAAGCTCTATTCAAGGAACCATTTTATAAATTTATAGCTGCTACTCCAATGGTAAACCATTGCTGAATGATGGCATGTGCTTTACCAAATTTTAATCTGTGTGCTTCATAGCTTGGGCAGCACTAAAGCACTTTGGTTTTATGTAGTTTGGTTCAAACAATTTTAACTTAAACTTTTAAACTTTTTGTACTATATAATTGCTTAATGCTTCTGATATTCTTATTGCTATAAAAAATTTTTGTGTGGTTCCATTTTAACTTCTAGTTTAATTTTTTTAGACTTTATTTGTTTTTTAAAGGTTATATCAAAATTGGACTATGAATTTTTCAATTAGTTTAAGATAACATTTCCCAAAGTGTTGTCCAAGGAAATGCTACAAGCTATAAGCCCCTGTTAGAGAGTTACAATGATGATAGTATGTATTAAAATCTTTGAGAAGGTCTTTTTGGTAAAGGCATTTATTAGCTTTCTTTAACCCAAATTTCCCCAAATTTATTTACCTTTTCCCTCATAGAAAGGAAATTATTTCTCTATCATTTATCAGTCATTTTTTGGTGGGGCATTGTGTTAAATCACTTAGTCCAGTGTTTCTTAAAATATATTTTGTTACATTTGGGGAAATTAATGAAAATTCTTAGAAAAGAATTCTGTGATCAAATAAATTATATCTCTTTAGTAAATCACAGACACATCATACTCAGAGATCTTTGTGGTACAGTGACTTTCAAACTTCAAACTTATAATAGAGAACTTTTTATTAAGAACTAAATTTTAATGTGTATTTTAAAGACAGATAAGTGTGTAAAACAGATCAAAAGCAGACAAAAGAAGAGCTGGTTTAGCTGAACTATGTCAAGGAATCTGAAACTTTTACAGAACCGTTCTTTGACTTCTCTAATCAGAGTTGAGTCCCAGGGTTGGAAACTAGGACCCACAGGGGAACTCTCACTATCAGTCATGGGTTTAAGGAAAATTTTGTTAGCACATGAGCCAGGCCCTTGGCTGCTTTTACTCTATAGTGGAAGAATTGAGTAGTTGCAACAGGGACCTTAAGGGATATGAAGCCCAGAATTCTCATTCTTGACCCTTTAAAGGAAAAATTTACTATTTCAGTTTATCCACAGTGACCCATTCCTGGGGCTATGAAAGTTAATTGTTTCACTATCTAAACTCCTTTTGTGATAACTTAAGCCTTTTTTTAAAAAAAAACAAATTCCCGGTTTGAGTAAGGAAAGAACTAGTTATTGTTCTTTTTTTTCTTTTTTGGTGGTGTTTGATCTAATCCAAGATCTTGCATATGCTAATTAGCTGTAACTACCATTGAACTGCATCCCCAGCCCCTAGTTATCATCATCCTTACTTAATTTTGTCATCTGCAGAGTGAGGTTCATGAAGACTCTTAAACGATAGCATTTCAAAGCTTGAAAATGTTTTGTAAGAAAATATTTTTTCATATCTTTGTTTCTATTTTTTTAATTCAATAGAAATTTCCAAGAGTAAATTTAGACTTGCAGAAATTTTCTTATTAGTTTTGCTTCTTTTGCAACTAATGCATTGCATGTGGTGGTTTGCAGTGGTATCATTGGTCGTAGCAGAAAAGATTTCAAGAGGTACTTATTCAACTTCATCGCTGCCATGCCTCTCGTAAGTTTCATTCTTGAAAAATCTTATTCACCTAGGGAAAATTTTCATCTTATTAAAATCTTTAAAGATTTTTAATTATTAAGTTCTTTAAAGATTTATGATACAAAGTTATAATTTGAGTTTAGTTTTGTAATTTATAGTCTAATATTTAAATGTAAATCATCACAGTAGGTAGAAAAATTAAAAGAAATTGCTTGGTTCAATTTCATTTGTGGTATATATATTTTAGTGAGTTTTATTTTAACTTTCAGGCCATATTTTCCCCAGTGTTAGTATTTAGAAGCACTAGTAGCACTCCTCTCCTAGTGGTGACAACCAAAAATGTTTCTAGATATTGTGCTAATTTGGGGGCAAGATAGGGAAGCACATCACCCTGGTTGAGAGCAATTGCTTTAAGCTATTATAGGAATTTATCTTAAATTAGAATTTATGATCTGAATTTATTAAAAATAATTTATTTTAAAATATGAATGATTTTATTAGCATGGTTCCTATTTTTATCTTATTGACCCTATAGGAATTTTAGTGTTCTAAATTTGGGGATAGAAAGGAGAAGCTTAATTGTAAAAATTGAAAGAATATCAGAAATTCTAGTTTAATAAACCTTGGTGGTGGGCATAAGCAACATAGATATTAAAGATGGAGAATCAGTAGAAAACCAGTGTTTTGCAAGTACTACTTGAGAAAATTTTTGTTATGCATGAGTTTGAAATGTAAATATGAGTTCAGAACTATGGAAGGATTAATTTTAATATAATCATGGAAAGTATTAATAAAGATAGCTGTAGAAATAATCTGTAAAACAACGTTAGTTGGTATAAAACAAGTTCCACATAAAGTTTAACATAAGGTAATAAAAGCCATTTGCATTTGGTTTAGCTTGTTCTCTTTGTATTGTTGTAAATTCTAAGTAAAACACTTGAATTATAATAATATGGACTAGCAGTTATAGAAATCATAGGATTTGTGGATGCAGTAAATTGATACAGAAGTAAATTATATCTTAGTAAGAAGTGAAGTAATACAAATAATATTTGTTTGTTTTAGATCTCTCTGGTTAATAACTTCTTAAAATATGGGTTAAATGAGCTTAAACTGTGCTTCCGAGTAAGGCTCACCAGATACCTCTATGAGGAGTATCTCCAGTAAGTAATGGCTTACTTTTTTTTTTTTTTAATTTATTTTTTTTAGTTGGACACAATATCATCTTTATTTTATTTACTTATTATTATTATTTTTATGTGGTGCTGAGGATCGAACCCAGGGCCTCGCACGTGTTAGGCGAGTGCTCTACCATTGAGCCACAACCTCAGTCCAGTGATGGCTTACTTTTAAATTAAAAATACTTAAATTGAACAGTTAGTATTTGTGATACTGAGATATAGAAGTTTTTCTTATTTTTTTATATATGTTTTTTAAGAAAACTACTTCTAGACAAAAAAGCATACTGGGGATGATCTCTCAGTTATCTGGAATGTCGCCATGGCTCATGGTTAGCAAGTCATCCTTCTCTGGACTTGCTTCCTTATGTCTAAAATAAGTTAAGACAATTCTTAGAGTCTCTTCTGTGTTCAGACATTTCTGCTTCTCTGTGTTTGCACTTGGTGGCATAATGTGATTTTTTTTTTTTTGGTTATGTGTTTAATATCACTTGTTTTACAGTTATTTTCTTACTGCTGTTTTAGAGCTTTCACATATTATAAAATGGGAAATCTGGACAACAGAATAGCTAATCCAGACCAGCTACTTACACAGGATGTAGAAAAATTTTGTAACAGTGTAGTTGATCTGTATTCAAATCTTATTAAGGTAAGTTTCTCTATTTTTAAAAAATTGTTTAATTTGTTGAATTTAGCATATAAGTATTGAGTGTTTTTATGAGAAAACGGGAATTGTTATAATAGTTACAATTATATAATTATTTTTAATATTATTTTTGTGAGTATTTTGGCTTAGAATTGGTCATTCACTGTTTTTACAAAGATTTTGTAAGAATTTTCAGGTTGATTTCTGTAAAATACATCTGAATTCTTATCTCTTGACTTGTGTACATCTGAAGTTGCTGGAAATTGACTTTATGTATCTAATTCCACATCCTCAAAACTACAGATGAAGGGCTTCCTACCTTTTTTGTGTTTTATTTTCTCCATTTCTGATAGATCATTAAATTGTAGACAGAAAACTTTCACATGATATAAATTTATTTCAGTTTTCTAAATACTGTTTTTTTCCCTTCTCAGAATATTGCCCAAGCTCTTGACTTTGATAGGCTTTAACCAGTTTTCTTTTAAGCTGTTCATGTCTTCAGTTCTTACTTGTCTTACTCATCTTCTCTCATCACCCTTGAATTTCTACTATAGTCTTCTCATTAAGCCAGCTTCTTTGTCCTTATCTCCTGCACTGAGTAACATATTTAACAGGCACTTGTAAGATTGTTAACCCAGCATCCCCTCCCCTCTTCATCTGAGATGCTCCAGTTTCCACTCTTATCTACATAACTGCCCTTGAACTATGGTAGGAGCTTGTCTCAAACTGGATTGATTAGAGTATCTTTGTCTCCAGTCACAACTGACCCAGATATCCAGTCTTGGGACAAAAAACTATACATAAGGGACTAGGTCAAGTTGTAAGACTGGGAATGCTCCTGCTTCAGGTACATGGCTGGAGAGAAAAGCAGTACTTGAAAAAGTGATATATATCCACAAGAGCTTCCCTCCTTGTATACAGGCCCTCTGCTAAAATATTCTCATTTCATGCCAAACTTTATTCTTTATTTAGCTCTCCAGATGCCTTTGCTAACTCATCTGAACTCTAGGAACTTAGACAAGTACAAATAGTAATTCAGTAATTCAGCTTTCTTTTCTGTTCCCATTTACTACATTTAAAATTTGTTCTCTGTGTATGTGGCGGTGGGTAGGGGATATAGGGTTTATGGGTGGGGGATTTACATAAAACTTTTCATGTAATTTTGATACCAGTTCTGTAGGCAAATTATAATATATTCTTTACATCTTGGCACTTGAGCAAAAGTGTAGTTCAGGTCTTGTCGCATCTACAATAGAAAAGAGTATTGTTGAATTAATTCTAGAGATGCTGTGACCTACGATGTGTTTACTGTTTTAAATATCTAATTATTTGATATCTGACTTAAATTGAGTCATTTTTTGACTTGTCAATGACTTTTAAATGTACTTGAATTTTATAAGTATTTCTAACTTCTTTATAATTTATAAAAGGGAGAAAAAAGGAAAACAAAGAAAAAGAAAAGGTAGATCTTGGCCAATGAATAAACCATCTCTTCTAGTGACGTCTGAAGGGGAAGCTGTAGACTTCAAGTGAATGAGCAAAACTTGGGGTCCTTGAAATACTTCATGGTGCATGCCACTAATAGTATGTCAGTTGACTTCTCTGTGAGGAGCAGTATAAGTAAGGTAGTTATAGAAGCTTGAGTCATAAAATTAAATTCATGGGCTCACTTGATAGTTTCAGTTTATAAATGTTGTGATAAAATAATAGAATCAAACAGTATTAGAGCACGAACAACCTCTTCTGAAGATGATTAGAACTAGAAAAGTTGATAGTAGATATGAGGTTACAGCTCAGGTACTTTTGTTGTGTGTCTTTAGATTACATTGAGAAATTACTAAGTTGCTAATGGTTAATTATCACAGTAGGGCTGTCTTAGTTGATGGAAAGTGATGAGTATTTCTCCTATGTGATGTCAGTAGATGTTGTTAAGGTTATCTTAGGTTTCTTGAGATAAGAACTGTATGTTTTATGTAGTCATTGATCTGGGTTCTATTATAGTACATTATGCTCAGTATGAACTCTACATGTTGATAATTTAAGTATTAAATCTTGAATAACATTTTGTATTTAGCATGTATTAGTTGGCAATCCAGTTCTTCAGTTTTAATTTTCTGTATTTATTTTACAGCCATTTTTAGATATAGTTTTATATATTTTCAAGTTAACAAGTGCAATTGGAGCTGAGGTAAGTCTATTTTTATTTCACCTTTTAAATTGCTATAGTACTGTGTTGAGAATAGCTTGATGGTCTAACAAATTTTTTTGTATCCCAAAGAACATGTTTTCACATGATGCACCTAATAAAGTTTGGTTATAAACTATACTAAAGATTAAAAAATTCTAATTTAGCTTTTTAATTTCCCTTAAGTCAGACACTTGGAAAAATTTTATTGCAGTAATAACCAGAAGTACTTAAACATTGAACACATAGACACTTATTGTTGAAAAGTAATGTCTAAAAGGAGATTTGAAGACAACCATTTTACTCTAAAACTTGAATGTTAAATATCAGCAGTACATTCAGAATAGTCATAACAATTTTAAGGCTATTTTATAATAATATAACTATCCCATGAGTTTTATTACCTTTCCTCTGGCATTTGTCATGGCCAGAGTTACCTTTAAATTTTCTCTTGAATATTCTCACTTAGTCATTTAATATGTAATGTCATAAGTATTTATAACACAAGCATGTATAGTGGGATTGTTTTATGTTATGTGTACATATATGCATTTTTAGTTGATTAATAAATAACTTACATAATGGTTTTTATTGCTTTCCAAAACACTAGGGAAAGTAGGTTTTGTCTGACTTTTCTTGTCTAGCATCTTAACCCTTTGCTATCCTGTAATTCAGGTTAAATCATTCTCAGAGCTTATTTTTATTGTGAGTGAGTGACTAATTCTAATCTGTCTTATCTCTATGCTATACTATTTTTGTTTTAGTATAGAAACAAACATGTCTTTGTGTATTACTGTTAATCTGATTTTGCATATTTTGAAAGCAAAAACTGTGTTTTAGTTATCACATGCCCTGTATTTCCAGCAGTTTTTGAAACACCTTGAATCAATCAGGATTTTTTTTTTTTTTTTTTTTTTTTTTTTTTGTGGTGCTAGGTATTGAACCTGTGTGCTAGCACTGAGCCATATCCCCAGACTCTCAATCAGGTTTTTATTTTTTAATTGTTGGTGGTTCTGGGGCTCAAACCTAGAGCCTGCAGCATGCTAGGAAAGCACTCTGTGACGGATCTGCACCCCATAACCCTAGGTTTAATTTTAAAACAATTTTGAATAGATACTGTATTTCATGAACATTATGCTAGATAGTATAGAAAGATGATTAAATTCCCCCTGAAGAGAAATTGTGACATGTGAACAAAGGTGAAACATGTAGTTATTCAAGCAATTATAAAACAGTGTGAAAAGTTTAATAATGGAAGTGGCAGGTACTAACCTCCTGGAAGAATTAGAACTGATACTTGAGTTGTTTTGAGGAGATAATGGGTGTTCATTAGATAGGTTGGGCTTACTAGACATAAGAACAACCTCACTGAATGGCATTTTCAGGAAATAATTATTTTTGTATGGCACAGCATAGGATATATTTTATATAGTAATGAAAGAAGGGTCAGTAATGAACATGGACAGCTTGAATCTTCTTTCTTAGAATGATGAATGGGTGATAGAGTCATTTACAAAGTTAGAAGGTATAGCAGCTGGAAGCAAGATGTACAAGCAGGGAAAGGCAGAGTTTGAGGGAATTGAACTTGAGGTGTCTATGCAGTGAGTTGAAGATGTGTGATGGTACTAATTTGGCAATAATATCTTGGGATCATAAGAGTGATGAGACTAGAAGTACAAATTTGGGATGAGAGATAAGGAAAGAAACTGAGGGAATATTAACATTGAAAAATAGGACAGAGATATGAGGATTATTGTGGAATACTAAGAGCTTATCAAGAATTGAAGAGCGTTAGATGCTGAAGGAAAAGTAAGAACTGAAATTATAGGATTTTAGGTAAGCAGATATGGGAGAGTGGGGATGAACTGCATTGGTTAGAGTAGTAGACAGAGTGAAAGTGTAGAGGCTATTGTGTATTTTTTCAGGAAAGAAACAGGGAAAAAAATTAACTCAAGGAGCCTTTTCTATCATTCATTGGAGTTAATTATAGAAATTGTACATGTTTGCATCCAGTGGATTTTATTATGGGATCCTTGAACTTTGTGTATCTTTCTCTGTTAAAAATAATAGGGCCCAGCAAGCATGATGGCCTACTTGGTTGTGTCTGGGCTATTCCTAACTAGACTGAGAAGGCCCATTGGTAAGATGACAATTACTGAACAAAAATATGAAGGTGAATATAGATATGTTAATTCCCGGCTCATTACAAACAGGTAAGAACAAATTTCTGCAAGTTATCAGAAAATTCATTTTTATGAATATTGATGTCATTTAAATTGACTCTAAAATGTCTAGTAATGCTTTTACAGAAATAGTATGTACATATTTTCTTGTTTTGAAATGTACATTATATACAGTATGTTTTACTAAGCACTAATTCCTATCTCTAACCCTTTTTCTTGTTAATCCCATATAGTATCCTTGATTCCCTTCTTCATATCATCTGTTGACTACTTTTTGTTAATTTTGCTTTAAATTAAGTCATGTGTACAATTCGAATTAAAATTTGCTTATAGTATTTATTAAAAAAAATTTCTCTCAATTTACCCACAAACTTTTTTATTTTGAGAGTATGTTTGCAATGCTGTCTAATTCAGTCTTCATTCATACTGCATGTGTTTTTACCTATTTTCCAGGGAGTTTTAGTATTCAAAATAGGAAGAAAAACTATGGATCTTTGATGAGCCATACTAATTTTAAAACCTGCCTCTTCACTTAAGTGATCATATATTATATGATTTTAGTAAGTTATTCAGACTCACTTTTCTTGTTTATAAGAAGTGAATAATATAGAGGATTATACTTGATAATATTTATATAAAGCTTCTAGCTCAGTTTTTGATACGGAGCAAGTGCTCAATAAATTTTCTCATTATCAGTCTGCCAATCTTAAGTCATTTTGAGGGTCCTAATATTTATATAATACTCTATAGGCTATTTTATTGAAATTTATAAAATACTTAGGAAATTACTTTCTTAATGATTCCTTCTTTTCTTATTGGATTGTTAAAATGGTACTAGTTTCACATGGGGTTTTTTACTCTGGGGAGGGAATATAGAGGGTTAAGTAGAGAGGTGTTTTGCCAAATAAATGAAAGATGATATCAGCTAGGATACTTTTTACTGCAAGAAGCAAACATGACTCATAAGATCCCAACAATAAAGACGTTTACTATGTCACATAAAGACTCCTAAGAGAGAGCAGCTCTAGGGACAGCAGGATTAGGGCTCTTGCTCTTGTTGAATGTTCTCTTGTGATGCCCTTCTTTGTGTATTGCCCCCTTCCATGGGTTAATTCTTGTGATTACAAGATGACAAAAACAGTCCCAGATTGCACTAGCCTATCCACCTTGCAAAAAGGTGCAGGAGCAAAAAGGGGCCATCTCTTCTGGTGTCGCTTTAAGGGAGCAAAGAAACCTTTCCCAGAAATTATATAGCTGACTTTCCTTTACTTCTCAATGACCAAAATAGTGTTTGTCCACACCTGAAGCAACCACAGCAAAATGATTGGCTTAGATTAGTTGGGATCCTGTACTCTATGAGTTGGGAGTGAGCATTAGGGTGCACAGAAAAGAATAGGTAAATTTAAGAAAAATGAGGTCTCTTAGGAAAAACTTGGAAGTGAATAGATGTTGAATAGTCAGTCATTAGTATTATAAGATGTTCAGTCCTTTGAGATTTTTCATTAGGGCTAAAATGACTCATTCCAGGAGAAGGAAAATTTCTCACCTCATCAACATCTGTAGACTTAGATATAAAGAGGAGGTAGAAGTAAAAAAGAAAACAAGAAGAAAAGAGTAATTATAGGTATCGGGATTCTCATATATGGGACTCTGTGTCAGGTCAAGGAAGCTGGGAAGCACAGGATAAATGTGGTTCACCTTTATAGAAAGTTAATTTTTTTGGAAGTGGTTGAGTTAGAAAATACCTTGCTTTCATGATGGGAAAAATACAGGCTTTTTTTTTTTTTTTTTTTTTTAGTAGAATAAAACTTTAAGGGAAAAAACCGAAGACTTTTAAGAAATATTTTGTATGGTTTTTGAAGTTGATTCAACTGTGACTTCTAAAGTTCTGTGTAAATGTTTACTTTTCTCTGCTAGAAAAGGGACTTTTCTGGGATGGTTTACATTATTATACTTGTATAGTGAAAAGACTATAAACTTTAAGGTCAGAAAGGAATGATATTTTCAGCTTCTTAACTTGCTTGCTATATGACTTTAACAAATTGAGTAAACTCCATGGAACAGTTTTTCATCTATCAAATCCACCCTCCTCCCCACTTTTTCTAGTCAAGATTCTTGTCTTTGTAGACACATTCAAGCTGGCTCTAGAAAAGGGCATTTGTGAGGATGTAGTGGGGTTCCAAGAATAAGAATAAGAACAATTACTATGCATCTGGGCTCCTGGGAATGCATTGTGAAGCCTTCAGGACTTAACCTGGTTTTCTGTTTTTCAAAGGCTGTGAAGACATTGCTACCTGTCTTTTTCTACCCCCCTCCCCACTCCTGTTTGGGTCTCTACTTGAACTTGTAGACTATAATGTCTGTCCTAGCCATGTCGTTTTACATATCATAGCATCTTCCTACTGTGTCTTATTTCAAATTCCTGAGAATTAGCCTGTCATATCTTTTATAGGCAGACTACCTTTTGGCATTGGCTACAGTCCAGTGTATTGGCTACAGTCCAGTGTACATCCCTGTGTGTATTGCTTTACCCCAATAAATTGAGCAGATAGTTTGAGATGCACCAGATAAGCTCTTAGTCACAAAATAGCCATTTAAATACAAACTTTCAGTCATCAAATATTGTATTTCAATTATTTTTCAGTCTTTAGTAAGCAATAATTAATTGCTAAATTATTTTCCTTAATAGTGAAGAAATTGCATTTTACGACGGGAATAAAAGAGAAAAGCAGACAATCTACTCAGTCTTCCGGAAACTGGTAAGATGACATATTTGCAGCTCATGTATTTATGAAATTTTTTTTTTTGGCTTACGCCAGAAAATATTTATCTTGTATATATATGTATATATGTATACATATCTTAAAATCATTTCCTTTTAAATATCTGTGAATATTAATCTGCCCACTTATGAAAGTGGATAAATTTACTAAAGTAATATATTTTGGCTTTTTTGGAACCATGCAGTCTCTCTTGCAACTTTTCAGCTCTGCTACTCAAAGGCAGCTATATATAATATACACATGATTAGGAGTGACTGTATTCTAACAGAACTTTATTTACAAAAACAAGTGGTATCCTTGATTTAGATTCTGGGGTCATAGTTTGCTGATATTTGATTTAGAATATAAACATTTGTTTCTTAAGAAAGCTTTATTTCAGTTTTTACATACTTGCTACTTGGAAAATTTGAATTCAAGTAATTTTATTCATTACTTTTTCAAAAGATATCAAGTACTTGATGGGCTCCATTGTTGGTGCTGCTGATAAGTAGATGATGAACTTGATGGATAAAATCTTTCCTTTGGGGCCCTTACATTTTAGTCAAAATTTGTGAAATTAAATATGTATTTTAGATACATATTTAAGAAGGGTAAAAGAAGTTTTAAATTATTTCAGAAACTAGATTTTTGCATTATCTTTTAACATTACTGAAATTTTTCAGTGCTCACTGACAAAATGCATTTAAGGTCATTTTCCAGGGGACTGCTGTTTACCAGTTTGCTTTTTACATGGCTAGATTAGTCTCATGCTTTAGATTTTCAGCTCAAATATTAATACTGATGAGCCTATTTGAAATCACTCTGTGATAGTTCCTTCTTGTTTTAATCATCTGTTTCCTTAAAAGTACATGGCAGTTTATAATTATCTTATTTGTTTTCTGGTTATCCTCTTTTATTAAAATGTAAACTATATGAGCTCAGAGACCTGGTCCATTCTATTCTTTGTTGTGTCTGTAGCATTGAGCAATGTCTGATGCATAGTATTCATTGAGTAATGCTCCAAACATTGTTGTAGTTGCAGATACTTAGAACAAGTTACCCTGTACTTAGCAAGCCTACATTTTAGTGGAAGAGACAGTTAATACAGTTAATATGTAAACAATTGGATATTCTGTATAATATCCTTTATTACAGACTTTATTATTTTATATAATAATAAAGTCTGTAACCTAAAAGGAAGCAGAGTAGTGGGAGAGTGTATAATGGGGTTTGTTGCCTAGCTACGCTACTTTGTCTAGAATGGCCAAGGTCCTTCTTGAAGAGGCACTGTTCAGTCAGAAGCCCACATGAAGTGAGGATTAGGTACTTAATGTGGGAAGAAGAAAACATTTGTTGCTAGCAGAGGGAACAAGAGGAAAGCCTGTGAAATGAAATGAACCTGTATTTCTGGGGCTCAACAAGAAGTAGCAAAATAGCCAGGTGGGGTGGTGCACGGAGCTCTGGAGGAGGAGGATTTTTAGTTCAAAGCCAATCTCAGTAATTTAGCAAGGTCTTAAGCAATTGAGTGACCCTGTCTCTAAATAAAATACAAAAAAGGGATGGAGATGTGGCTCAGTGGTTAAGTGCCCCTGAGTTCAATCCTCAGTATCCCCCCCCCCAAAAAAAAAGAGTAGCAAAATAGAAGCAGACGAGCTTAAAAATAGAACTCTGCCAGATCATGCAGCACCTTGAATGATCTGATAGGTAGAGAATTTGAGAACCCTAAAACTCCAGAATAAATCATGTTTGTAGATTTCTAATTTTGAGATAATGAAATTCACAGACTCGGGTTGTGTGGCATTGATTTACATTAGCACTTGGTTCAGATTGGTTATAATGTAATTCTTAAAGACTGTGTGTCTTCATGAATAACAAAGCATTGAGTACCTATCTGAATAGCTAATAGTTCATCCAAATTAGCTCATCTCTATTCCTTTTCTTTGGCTTTTGATTGGTTTGGGGATATATGTGTCTAACAGTATTATAAATGGAGGCATTGTAACATGCAAAGGAAGCAACATTGTTAAATTGCTTTCATAATTTCCATTCTGTTTGCTTAAAAATTGTTTCATGAAGTGTGTTTGGCACCTGCTCTGTGATCAGCACATACTCAGGGAAGTGTGGTGTAAATTATAACCAGAAATGATACTCAGTAAACATTTGTTGAATAAATGAATTTTATAGTTTGTTTTATCCTCATGATAGATTTAATTTTTATATATATTAAGAAAATAAACTTCTGTTTTATGACAGGTGGAACACCTACATAATTTCATTTTGTTTCGGTTTTCAATGGGCTTCATTGATAGCATAATTGCCAAATGTAAGTATGTTTTCAAAGAAATGGTGTAATGAGATTTGTGGAAAAAGTGAAATAATGATAGTGTTTTAGATCTTTAACTGTTTTTTTTCAGACTTTGCCACTGTAGTTGGTTACCTGGTTGTGAGTCGTCCTTTCCTAGATTTGTCTCATCCTCGTCATCTCAAGAGTACCCATTCAGAGCTTTTGGAGGTAAAGTAACAATAATGATGATAATAAAATTTAAAAATAAAAATAAAACTTTATTTAAAATTTTTGAAATGTAAATGAAAACTAATATTTATTTCTATTTAAGGATTACTACCAAAGTGGAAGAATGCTTTTGCGAATGTCTCAAGCTCTGGGTCGAATAGTTTTGGCTGGGCGAGAAATGACTAGATTGGCTGGGTAAGAAACTGGTTAATAATGAGCAATTACAGAGAATTATTTTAAAAAATACGTTGTCCTTAATGATTGTGCCCAGGTGAGGTTAAGATAAGGGGCAACGTTTCCTACTCAAGGAAGCTGATTCTGATAGAAGTTAATTAAGCAAGATTTTTTCTCTAACAGAAATCTTTTCATGTTTCTTGAAGATACTTGTTTTGAGCCTTACATTAGATTAGTGGTTCTCAGGTTTTTACTTGGTGGACACTGGCATTTTATGAGCTGGGAAATGATGGGCCATGGCAGCCTTTTCTTAATTCTCAGAAATTAAGTTAATGAATGGATTTTTTTTTTTGTTTGAACTTTTTTGTGTCCATGACAATTTTTTCTTAGATTTTTAATAGTGGAAACTTAGAAAAAAACCAACCCACATTTGAATTGACTTTGATGGAAAAAATTAATTTTTTTCTACATGTGATATCTGTAGGTGCAGATGTAATCAGATTGTGTAAAAATAAAATTGTTCTTAGACCATGGAATGGAATGAAATCTTTCAATGTTTCAGACTCTTCTCAAAGGGCTGTAGTGTGGTATTAAAAAAAAGACCATAGACTGATAGGAACATGGCAGCGGGAAGGGAGTGAGCGGCCCTGTGACCCGCGCCACCCTGTTCACAGGGTGTGAGTTCAGAACGGCGGTTGCTGTCTTGTCAGGAATATTCAGGGAAGTTGGTCTCCATGGAGTCTCAGGCAAGAGTTTGAGCATCGGAAGGACATGGACACAGCTCAGACATGAGAGAATCCGAGCTGCCCTGGCGCGGAGGAACCGGATGAACTAAACAGGCCTCCACAGGGCACCAGACCAAGAACTGAAGTTGGAATTTAGTGAAGAAACGGCTCAGGTCATCCTCTTCACTGGACTCCCTGGAGTGGAAACGGGTGGTCACCATCTTGGAGAATCTTCTTCGGCGCATCTGATCGCACAACAGCAAGTTTGGCGACAGATTAGCGTTGATGACTGGGTGAATAACAAACAAAGAGGGTGCCTAATTGGTCAAGAGGGCAGGGCATCCAGGGAGCTGTTTGCCCAGAGTGAAACTAGAACTGTGGAGAGGAGCCCCGGTAATGGGCCGGGCGGACAGGAGAAGCAAGGGGGTTAGAGACCAGGAGCAACCCAAAGAGACCGGGATTGGAGAGACACCTGGCAGGGGAGGGAGAGAAGCTCCACATGGATTGTTTCCTACATCCTGTGGGCAGAGACTTAGCCTGAAAGCACAACTCCACCCACTGGAAGAGAAGAAAATAGAACTCTAGGAGTGCATTTTTTTTTCCTTTTATATATATATTTTTTTCTTCTCCTTTTTTTTTCTTTCCTTTTCTCTCTACTATGTGTAATTTACTAAATGCAAATAGGTGAATGTTTCTAGGCTTTCTATAGTCCTCCTAAGTACTTAACTACCCCCAAATACTCCAGTCTATTCTCCTATTAATATCCCCCTTCATTAGAGCTCTCCTCCAAAGTAGCTAAGATATACTAACCCCCATATCATCACATCTTTCCACCTAAACATAAAGTCCTAAGACCAAACTTCAGTTCTCTATACACCATCAGAATCTGTATGCCTTTTAAGAAACTGATGAAATTACTTAAATTTCAACTGAACCCAACATCTCTAGACATTGTCTCCCATCACAAAGGAGAGATCTCGGAGCTACACAAAATCAAAACAAATTTATAGGAGAAAATAATAGCACAGCAGTCCGACAGAGCTGGAAAGAAACGTGAGCATCATGAAAAAACAAGGAAAAAAAGGAACACAAACAATGCAGGACAGCTCAACATTACAAGAGTTGTTAGACACGGCAGAGAGATGGTCAGATAAAGATTTCAGGATATACATGCTTCAGCTGGTACGGAGTCTTAAAGAAGACCTTAGACGGCAAATGCAGACAATGAAAGATCACTTCAACAACAAATTATATAAACAAATACAAGAAGCAGAAGAACAACTCTACAGGGTACAAAAAAATCAAACAGAAATCCTGGAAATGAAGGAAATTATAAACCAAATTAAAAATTCAAATGAGAGTATCACCAGTAGAGTAGACCAATTAGAAGTCAGAACATCAGACAACGAAGACAAAATATATCATCTTGAAAAGAATCTAGTCAACTCAGAAAGGCTGGTAAGAAACCACAAGCAAAACATCCAAGAGATCTGGGATAACAAACCAAACTTAAAAGTCATTGAGATAGAGGAAGGTTTAGAGGTCCAAACCAAAGGAATGAGCAATTGTTCAATGAAATAATTTTAGAAAACTTTGCAGACATGAAGAATGAAATGGAAATACACATCCTAGAAGCCTACATGATGCTGAATGTCAAAACCACAAGAGACCCACAACAAGACACATCATAATGAAAATATCCAATATACAGAACGAGGAGTGAATATTAAAAGCTACAAGAGAAAGGAGGCAGATTACATTTACAGGTAAACCAATTAGGTTAACGGCTGATTTTTCATCACAGACGTTGATGGCTAGAAGATCCTGGCACAACGTATTTCAAATGCTGAAAGATAATGGGTGCCAACCAAGAATATTGTATCCAGCAAAATTGAGCTTCAGGCTTGACAATGAAATAAAAACCTTCCACGATAAACAAAAGTTAAAAGAATTTACAGCCAGAAAACCAGCACTGCAAAGCATTTTGGGCAAAACACTACACGAAGAGGAAATGAAAAACAACAACGAAAATCAACAGGGGGAGGTAGCACAGTAAAGGAAAAAACTAATCAAAGAGGAAAAACAAATGAAGTTAAATAACAAAAATAAACAAACATGACTGAAAGTACAAACCATATATCAATAGTAACCCTAAATGTTAATGGTTTAAACTCACCAATTAAGCGACATAGGCTAGTAACCTGGATTTAAAAAAAAATCCAACAATATGCTGCCTACAGGAGACTCATCTGATAGGAAAAGACATAAACAGGCTGAAGGTCAAAGGTTGGGAAAAATTATACCACTCACATGGACCTCAGAAGCAAGCAAGGGTGGCCATACTCATATCAAATAAAATTGAAATCAAGCCAAAGTTAATCAAAAGAGATAAAGAAGGACACTATATACTGTTAAAGGGAACCATTCACCAACAAGACATAACAATCATTAATATATATGCCCCAAACAATAGTGCTGCTATGTTCATAAAACAAACTCTTCTCAAGATCAAGAGACAAATAGACCACAACACAATAATCATGGAAGATTTTAATACACCTCTCTCACCACTGGACAGATGTTCCAAACAAAAGTTGAATAAAGAAACTAGAACTGAATAACACAATTAATAACCTAGACTTAACGGACATATATAGAATATATCAACCATCATAAGCAGATATACTTTTTTCTCAGCAGCACATGGGTCCTTCTCAAAAATAGACCATATATTATGCCACAGGGCAACTCTTAGCAAATATAAAGGAGTAGAGATATTACCATGCAATTTATCTGCTCATAATGGAATGAAACTGGAAAGCAACAATAAAAGAAGGAAGAAAAGTTCCTACATCACTTGGAGAATGAACAATATGCTACTGAATGAACAATGGATTACAGAAGACATCAAGTAGGAAATTCAAAAATTCTTAGAGATAAATGAAAACACAGACACAACATATCGGAATCCATGGGACACTATGAAAGCAGTACTAAGAGGAAAATTCATTGCTTGGAGTTCATTCCTCAAAAAAAGAAAAAAAAAAAAACCAACAAATAAATGACTTACACATCATCTCAAAGCCCTAGAAAAAGAAGAGGAAATCAACAGCAAACACAGTAGAAGGCAAGAAATAATTAAAATCAGAGCTGAAATCAATGAAATTGAAATAAAAGAAACGATTGAAAAAATTGACAAAACTAAAAGTTGGTTCTTTGAAAAAATAAATAAGATCGACAGACCCTTAGCCATGCTAATGAAGAGAAGAAGAGAGAGAACTCAAATTACTAGCTTACGGGATGAAAAAGGTAACATGACAACAGACAATTCAGAAATACAGAAGATAATTAGAAATTATTTTGAAACCTTATACTCCAATAAAGTAGAAGATAGTGAAGGCATCAATAAATTTCTTAAGTAATATGATCTGCCCAGATTGAGTCAGGAGGATATACACAACTTAAACAGACCAATATCAATTGAGGAAATAGAAGAAGCCATCAAAAGATTACCTACCAAGAAAAGCCCAGGACCAGATGATTATACAGCAGAGTTTTACAAACCCTTTAATGAAGAACTAATACCAATATTCTTCAAGCTATTTCAGGAAATAGAAAAAGAGGGAGTACTTCCAAATTCATTCTATGAGGCCAACATCACCCTGATTCCTAAACCAGACAAACACACTTCAAAGAAAGAAAACTACAGACCAATATATCCAATGAACATAGTTGCAAAAATCCTCAATAAAATTCTGGCAAATCGGATACAAAAACATATCAAAAAGATCGTGCACCATGATCAAGTAGGATTTATCCCTAGGATGCAAGGCTGGTTCAATATATGGAAATCAGTAACTGTAATTCACCACATCAATAGACTTAAAGATAAGAACCATATGATCATCTTGATAGACGCAAAAAAAGCATTCGACAAAATACAGCATCCCTTTATGTTCAAAACACTAGAAAAACTAGGGATACAGGAACTTACCTCAACATTGTAAAAGCTGTTTATGCTAAGCCTCAGGCCAGCATCATTCTAAATGTAGAAAAATTGAAGGCATTCCCTCTAAAATCTGGAACAAGACAGAGATGCCCTCTCTCACCACTTGCATTCAACATAGTGCTTGAAACACTGGCCAGAGCAATTAGATGAAAGAAATTAAAGGCATAAATATAGGAAAAGAACTTAAATTAGCACTATTTGCTAATGACACGATCCTATACCTAACAGACCCAAAAGGTTCTACCAAGAAACTTCTAGAACTAGTAAATGAATTCAGCAAAGTGGCAGGATATAAAATCAACACCCATAAATCAAAGGCATTCCTGTATATCAGCGACAAATCCTCTGAAATGGAAATGAGGACAACTACCCCATTCTCAGTATCCTCAAAAAAAAAAAAAAAAAAAAAAAAACTTGGGAATCAACCTAACAAAAGAGGTGAAAGATCTATACAATGAAAACTACAGAACCCTAAAGAGAAAAATAGAAGAAGACCTTAGAAGATGGAAAGATATACCTTGCTCATGGATAGACAGAGTTAATATTATTAAAATGGCCATATTACCAAAAGCACTTTAAAGATTCAATGCAATTCTGATCAAAATCCCAATGGCATTCCTTGCAGAATAGAAAAAGCAATCATGAAATTCATCTGGAAAAATAAGAGACCCAGAATAGCTAAAGCAATTCTATATTGCGATACCAGATTTTCAACTATACTACAGAGCAATAGTAACAAAAACAGCATGGTATTGGCACCAAAACAGGCTGCTAGACCAATGGTACAGAATAGAGGACACAGAGACCAGTCCACAAAATTACAACTACCTTATATTAGACAACGGTGCTAAAAGCATGCATGCAATGGAGAAAGGATAGCATCTTCAACAAATGGTGCTGGGAGAATTGGAAATCTGTATGCTACAAAATGAAATTGAATCCCTTTCTCTCACCATGCACAAATGTTAACTCAAAATAGATCCAGGAACTAGGAATCAAATCAGATACTCTGTGTCTAATAGAAGAAAAAGCCCTAATCTCCATCACGTGGGGTCAGGCCCCAAATTCCTTAATAGGACACCAATAGCACAAGAGTTAAAATCAAGAATCAACAAGTGGGACAAATTCAAACTAAAAAGTTTTTTCTCAGCAAGAGAAATAATATGTGAGGAAATAGGGAGCCTACATCCTGGGAACAAGTTTTTACTCTCACACTTCATATATAGCTCTAATCTCTAGAGTATACAAAGAACTCAAAAAGTTAAACAATAAAAAAATTAAAAAATAAAATAAATAATTAACAATGGGCCAAGGACCTGAACAGACACTTCTCAGAGAAGGATATACAATCAATCAACAAATACACCAAAAAATGCACACCATCTCTAGCAATCAGAGAAATGCAAATTAAAACTACCCTAAGATACAATCTCACCCCGGTAAGAATGGCGGGCATTCAAAAAACAAGTGCTGGTGAGGATGCGGGGAGAAAGGTACACTCATACATTGCTGGTGGGACTGCAAATTGGTGCAGCCAATTTGGAAAGCAGTATGGAGATTCCTTGGAAAACTGGGAATGGAACCACCATTTGACACAGCTATTCCCCTTCTCGGACTATATCCAAAATACCTACAAAGAAAATACTACAGGGACACAGCCACATCAATGTTTATAGCAGCACAATTCACAACAACTAGACTGTGGAACCAACCTAGATGCCATTCAATAGATGAATGGATAAAAGAAAATATGGCATTTATACACAATGGAATATTACACAGCACTAAAAAAAACAAGATCATGGCATTTACAGGGAAATGGATGGCATTAGAGCAGATTATGCTAAGTGAAGTTAGCCAAACCCTAAAAAAACAAATGCTAAATGTCTTCTCTGAATAAGGCGTGTGACTTAAAATGGGGTAGGGAGGAAGACCATGAGAAGAAGATTGCCACTAAATAGGGAAGAGAGGTGGGAGGGAATGGGAGTGAAAAGGGGAATTGTATGGAAGAAGGAAGGACACCCTCATCGTTATAAAAAAATACATGTATGATGATGTGAGGGAAAAAAAAAAGAAATGTGTCACATTAGATTGGGTACAGAGAGGTGAGGGGAGGGGAGGAGAAGGGGGGATAGGAAGGGCAGCAGAATACAATAGACACTAGTATTGCTGTATGTATATACATGACTGTATGACCAATGTGATTCTGCAACCTGTATACTTGGGAAAATGAGAAATTATACCCCATTTGACTCAAATGTAAAAAAAAAAAAACATAATGAAGAAAGCCCTATAAATTTCAGATTACCTGAGGAAATTTGATCACTTAAGATCTTTCTTGGGCCTATGATTCATCTTCACATTTCTCTTTATTCCTTCCTTTTTCCCCCTGTGATAGTTAATATCTTCATGGTCAATTAGAACTTGCAAACCACTATGAGGAGTCTCTTTCTCTTGAGAATGTTGACATTTTTTCTACTTGTAAATAACTTTGCTCATGCTTTTATATATTTCATGCTATGTGGAGTGCTAAGGCTCTATTCCTTGAGGATTTCTTTAAAAAAATTTATTAAGGTGTGATTGACATATTAAAAAAACTATGTATTTAATTCATACAACGTAATGAATTAAAACCTGGGAAAACATCGCTCCATCAATACCATAAAAACATCCATCACCTCCCAAAATTTCCTTTAGGACCTTTCTGCTTGTTATTCTTTAAAAATTCCCTTTTACTTCTCTGATAACCATAATGTTACTAGTTTTGTTTTCTGTCTATTGCCCCAGCAATTTCCATCTAATATTAAGAACTCTTTATCTTTTTCCCTTTCCAGAGTAAGAAAAGAGACTGTTCCCAAATCTTCCCTATGTTCAGGGAGGCAGCATGCATTTGGCACACATCTAGTGTATTCTTCGCTCAGATGGAAAGGTTGATTTTACACATTTCTTAATAGGTCACTCCAGAAGGGATCACAGTGTCTCCCCTTCCTGGGTCTGAGGAGTGCACTAGCAATTGTCCTTTTATAGGGTCCATAAAAATATTCCTTAAAATTCTAACATTAAACAACTGTCTTGTTTTGCTTGTTAATCACATATTGTGTGGTTGAGTTGGGGAGTTTCTGAAACCTCTTCCCTTATCTCCATGTTCCTGCTTTTACTGAAGAAAGCACTAATTCTTCATGGTGAGACTTCTTTTGAGTTATTTCATTTAAACTGAATTATAATTTTAGAAATTCCAGTTAGGTTTGTATAAAATAAAAGATGTAATAGTAGTCTGGAATTTTGATTATGGTTTCCTGTTTTTAAAATTTTAGTTTTACTGCCCGGATTACAGAATTAATGCAAGTACTGAAGGATTTAAATCATGGCAAATATGAACGCACAATGGTCTTGCAGCAGGAAAAGGGTAAATATGAATGTCAGAGTTTGAGGTCACAATTTTAAGTTTTTACTGACACAATATGATGCTTTAATACGTATTTTCCATTTCAGGTACTGAAGGAGTACAAGTCAGTACCTTGATACCTGGTGCTGGAGAAATCATCAATGCAGATAACATTATAAAGTATGTATAGAAAAAGATTCTTTAGCACCATAAGCTGTATAGTAGCCTTGTTAAGCTTTTGTAATAACCTTTCTCTTTTAGCTTAAAGTTGCTTAGTATTTAATTTAAAATTAATCTTTTTTTTTTTAAGAAATTGCTTTGAGATATCACTGACATAGAAAATATATATTTCAGATATGCAACTAGATTGTTTTGACATTATGTATACATTGTGAAATTATCACCACATTTCAGCTAATTACCATGTCTGACGTCTCTACATAGTTACCATTTGTATGTATGTGTGAGAATTTAAGATCTATCTTAACAAATTTCAAGTATACAATGCATTGTTTTTAACTATTTTCCATGCTATACATTAAATCTCCTGAGCTTGCTCTTGTATTATGACCAAAGCTTTATACCCTTGACCAACATCATCCCCATTTTTTCCTCCTTCAGCCTCTGAAAACCACCATTCTATTCTCTCTTTCAATGAATTTGGTTATTTTAGATTTTACATAAGATTTTATAGTATTTTTCTTTTTGTCTTATTTTGTACAGTATAATGTTCCATCCATCTCAAAAATGGCAGGATTTCCTTCCTTTTTGAAAGATTGAATAATAGTCTATTTGTATGTATGTATGTATGTATGTATGTATTCACACACACTATATATTCTTCATTCTTTCATTAATTGAAGGAAATTTAGTGATTTCTGTAACTCGGCTTGGAGAATACATACTGCAGTGACTATGGGAATTCAGATATCTCTTTGATTGTCTGATTTTTGATTATCTGGTTGTCTGGCCTTGGTTTTGGTTTTCTGGATTTCTGGTTTTATTTTCTTTGTAAATCTACCTGGAAGTGCTGCTGCATCAGATGGTAATTACATTTTTAATTTTTTGTTTTCAAAACTGGCTTTCTCACTCAGACACAACATATCGAAATCTCTGGGACACTATGAAAGCAGTACTAAGAGGAAAATTCATTTCATGGAGTTCATTCCTTAAAAGAAGGAAAAGCCAACAAATAAATGACCTCACACTACACCTCGAAGCCTTAAAAAAAGAAAAACAAATCAGTAGCAAATACAGTAGAAGGCAAGAAATAATTAAAATCAGAGCTGAAATCAATGAAATTGAAACAAAAGAAACAATCGAAAAAATGCACAAAACTAAAAGTTGGTTCTTTGAAAAAATAAATAAGATTGATAGACCACTAGCCACGCTAACAAAGAGGAGAGAGAACCCAAATTACTAGCTTACAGGATGAAAAAGGCAACATGACAACAGACAATTCAGAAATACAGAAAATAATTAGAAATTATTTGAAACCCTATACTCTAATAAAATAGAAGATAGTGAAGGCATCGATAAATTCCTTAAGACATATGAACTACCCAGATTGAGTCAGGATGATATAAACAACCTAAACAGACCAATATCAAGTGAGGAAATAGAAGAAGCCATCAAAAGACTACCAACCAAGAAAAGCCCAGGACCGGATGGATATACAGCAGAGTTTTACAAGACCTTTAAAGAAGAACTAATACCAATACTCTACAGTCTATTTCAGGAGATAGAAAAAGAGGGAGAACTTCCAAATTCATTCTATGAGGCCAATATCACGCTGATTCCCAAACCAGATAAAGACACCTCAAAGAAAGAAAACTACAGACCAATATCCCTAATGAATTTAGATGCAAAAATCCTCAGTAAAATTCTGGCAAATTGGATACAAAAACATATCAAAAAGATCGTGCACCATGATCAAGTAGGATTCATTCCTGGGATGCAAGGCTGGTTCAGTATACGGAAATCAATAGACGTTATTCACCACATCAATAGACTTAAAGATAAGAACCATGTGATCATCTCGATAGATGCAGAAAAAGCATTCGACAAAGTAAAGCATCCCTTTATGTTCCAAACACTAGAAAAACTAGGGATAACAGGAACTTACCTCAATATTGTAAAAGCTATATATGCTAAGCCTCAGGCTAGCATCATTCTAAACGGAGAAAAACTGAAGGCATTCCCTCTAAAATCTGGAAAAAGACAGGGATGCCCTCTCTCACCACTTCTATTCAATATAGTTCTCGAAATACTGGCCAGAACAATTAGACAGACAAAAGAAATTAAAGGCATTAAGATAGGAAAAGAAGAACTTACTATTTGCGGATGATATGATCCTATACCTAGAAGATACAAAAGGGTCTACAAAGAAACTACTAGAGCTAATAAATGAATTCAGCAAAGTGGCAGGATATAAAATCAACACGCATAAATCAAAGGCATTCCTGTATATCAGCGACAAATCTTCTGAACTGGAAATGAGGAAAACCACCCCATTCACAATATCCTCAAACAAAATAAAATACTTGGGAATCAACCTAACAAAAGAGGTGAAAGATTTATACAATGAAAACTACAGAACCCTAAAGAGAGAAATAGAAGAAGATCTTAGAAGATGGAAAAATATACCCTGTTCATGGATAGGCAGAACTAACATCATCAAAATGGCGATATTACCCAAAGTTCTCTATAGGTTTAATGCAATGCCAATCAAAATCCCAACGGCATTTCTTGTAGAAATAGATAAAGCAATCATGAAATTCATATGGAAAAATAAAAGACCCAGAATAGCAAAAGCAATTCTAAGCAGGAAGTGTGAATCTGGAGGTATAGCGATACCAGATTTCAAACTGTACTACAGAGCAATAATAACAAAAACAGCATGGTACTGGTACCAAAACAGGCGGGTGGACCAATGGTACAGAATAGAGGACACAGAAACCAATCCACAAAATTACAACTATCTTATATTTGATAAAGGGGCTAAAAGTATGCAATGGAGAAAGGATAGCATCTTCAACAAATGGTGCTGGGAAAACTGGAAATCCATATGCAACAAAATGAAACTGAATCCACTTCTCTCGCCACGCACAAAAGTTAACTCAAAATGGATCAAGGAGCTTGAATTCAAACCAGAGACTCTGCGTCTGATAGAAGAAAAAGTTGGCTCCGATCTGCATATTGTGGGGTCGGGCTCCAAATTCCTTAATAGGACACCCATAGCACAAGAGTTAAAAACAAGAATCAACAAATGGGACTTACTCAAACTAAAAAGTTTTTTCTCAGCAAGAGAAACAATAAGAGAAGTAAATACGTAGCCTACATCATGGGAACAAATTTTTACTCCTCACATTTCAGATAGAGCCCTAATATCCAGAGTATACAAAGAACTCAAAAAATTAAGCAATAAGAAAACAAATAACCCAATCAACAAATGGACCAAGGACCTGAACAGACACTTCTCAGAGGAGGACATACAATCAATCAACAAGTACATGAAAAAATGCTCACCATCTCTAGCAGTCAGAGAAATGCAAATCAAAACCCCCCTAAGATACCATCTCACTCCAGTAAGATTGGCAGCCATTATGAAGTCAAACAACAACAAGTGCTGGCGAGGATGTGGGGAAAAGGGTACACTTGTACATTGCTGGTGGGACTGCAAATTGGTGCGGCCAATTTGGAAAGCAGTATGGAGATTGCTGGGAAAGCTGGGAATGGAATCACCATTTGACCCAGCTATTGCCCTTCTCGGACTATTCCCTGAAGACCTTAAAAGAGCATACTATAGGGATACTGCTACATCAATGTTCATAGCAGCACAATTCACAATAGCTAGACTGTGGAACCGACTTAGATGCCCTTGAATAGATGAATGGATTAAAAAATGTGGCATTTATACACCATGGAGTATTACTCAGCACTAAAAAATGACATAATCATGGAATTTGCAGGGAAATGGAGGGCATTAGAGCAGATTATGCTAAGTGAAGCTAGCCTATCCCTAAAAAACAAATGCCAAATGTTTTCTTTGATATAAGGAGAGCAACTAAAAACTGCAGGGAGGAAGAGCATGAGAAAAAGATTAACATTAAACAGGGACGAGAGGTGGGAGGGAAAGGGAGAGAGAAGGGAAATTGCATGGAAATGGAAGGAGACCCTCGTGTTATACAAAATTACATATAAGAGGATGTGAGGGGAAAGGGAAAAAAAATCAAGGGAGAGAAATGAATTACAGTAGATGGGGTAGAGAGAGAAGATGGGAGCGGAGGGGAGGGGGGATAGTAGAGGATAAGAAAGATAGCAGAATACAACAGTCACTAGTATGGCAATATGTAAAAACGTGGATGTGTAACCAATGTGATTCTTCAGTCTATATACGGGGTAAAAATGGGAGTTCATAACCCACTTGAATCAAATGTATGAAGTGTGATATGTCAAGAGCTTTGTAATGTTTTGAACAACCAATAAAAAAAAAATAAAGTGGCTTTCTCAATTTACTTTTCTTTTTTTAGATACTGGGAATCCAGACCCTTGTGTGTGATAGCAAAGCACTCTACCACTCCGCTATACTCCCAGCCCTAGTGTACATTCTTACCAACAGTGTATAAGGGTTCCCCATTCTCCATATCTTGCCAGCCATTACCTCTTGTCTTTTGGATAATAGTCATTCTAATAGGTGATATTCATTGTGGTTTTGATTTGCATTTTCCTTTGTAGTTAGAGGTATTGAGCACCTTTTCATATGCCTGTTGACAATCTGAATTTCTTCTTTTATGAAGTCTGTATTTGTGTTCTTTCCCTATTTTTAAAATCAGGTTGTTTGTGTTTTTGGTATTAAATTGTACAAGTTCCTTATATATTTTAAAATCATTCTCTTTATTAACTTCCTCTACAGGTTTGATCATGTTCCTTTAGCAACACCAAATGGAGATATCTTAATCCGAGATCTTAATTTTGAAGTAAGTTTTAAAATGCTTACATGAAAGCCTAAAAAGTGAACTGAAAAATTATTGTCTGAATATTTAAATTAATTTTAAGGCTTGATTTAATATCTAAGTTCACAGAAATGATTTCAAAACTAAATCCTCTTTCACTGGACTAGACAAAGGGGAATGAATGGAAGGAAAGAGGGAGAGGAATAGGAAAGACAGTAGAGTTAATTGGACATAACTTTCCTATCCTTGAATGTATCCTATGAATACATGACCAGGGTAACTCCACATCATGTACAAACACAAGAATAGGATCCTAATTAGGATCTGTTATATTCCACGTATGTACAATATGTCAGAATATACTCTACTGTATCTCTAAAAAGAACAAATTGGAAAAAATAAAAAACAACCCACCTAAGTCTTTAAATGACTTAGAAATCTAATTTTGAACAGACCTTAAAATTTCAAGTACTACTACTGTATCAAATATTTATTTTTTTTTTGCAAAATAAAGTACATACCAAGAAAGCCATAGAAGATATAGTTAATTGAAATTCTATAGCTATGCTGTTCAGTACAGTAGCTACTAGTTACATGTGGCTACTTAATTTAAAATCAAACTAATTAAAACTTAACAAAATTTAAAATTAAGTTCCTCAGTCATACTGGTCACATTTTAAGTGACCAGTATCCACACCTGGCTATGGTATTGGACAGAGCAGATATGAACATTTCCATCATTGCAGAAAGTGTAGAATGATAATTTAAATATGTGAATATAATTTTAATTTCATTTAAATTAAAAAAGAAATTATGGTTAGGTATTGTTTTGACTATACAGGAGGATTTATACCTATAAAAATAAAACATAGCCTTTTTTATTACTGATAAACCAGCAGGAGAGCAAAAAAGTAGAATTCCGGGCCAAGTGAGTAGTGATGCTGGTTCAGTGTATGCTCTTAATGAAACAGGATATGATAGTCCACGTTAAAAATAAAAAGCAATGAATATTTTTGTATAATTTCTAAGACTTGGGGATCTAAGGATTACTGTTTAAGTTATGTGACTGTGAGACTATATGAATAGTTTTTTAAAGATTAGTAACAAATTACTATCTTGCAGACTCTCTCCTCTGTCTAATAGAACTTTCTGTGATAATGGAATGTTCTTTATCTGCTCTCTACAGCACTATATAGTCAGGTACATTCTAAATGTGACTAGTACAGCCGAGGAACTCACTCAGTTTCAAACTTTATTTAATTTTATTAGTTTGATTTTAAGTTAAATAGCCACATATGACCAGTGGCTGCTGTATTGAACAGCACAGCTCTATAATTTTTCTCTACATGCTTATGTGTATGGCCTTCTGTAATCTGTGTTTTATATGGGAGTTTCTTCAGCTGCTTTCATTGTCTAATACTTTACAAAATAAAGAGTAATTATTGTATTTGTTTTTAAATTGTTAGACCTTCAGTTTTTCTGCTCTTAGTAATTAAGTACATCTCCTATCTTCTTAAGGAACTGTAAAAGTGAACAATGTTAGTTATGCAAAGTACTTTGAACTTGCCCAACAATGAGAATTATATCACTATCACATTTTAAATCTAGGAAACACTAGAGGAAGTACAGAAAATCTAAATATGGTTGGTAAATGTCAGATGGCTCCAAGGGTCACAGAAGTGCTTCCTTAGTTAGCCCTCAGTACTCCAGTCCCTTTAGTGCATCCTGTGCCAAGTAGGTAGCCACCTTCCAGACCTGCTTTCAGAGCAAAAACACAGCTCAGAACCCTGTCTTCATCAGTTTTCCAGAAGCCTATTTATTGCCACTTCCTGAGGTTAAAAAGGGAAATGGGACTTCTCCATTTAAGAATGCCTCTTGGTCTTTTCTGCTGCTTTCCTTTATTTCTGTCTGAATCCAGAAGTAAAGTAAGTTAACATTATAGGTACACATATGACTTAAACAAAGTTAGAAGGAATTTGGTCTGCTTTCTGTTTTTAAATTTGATTATTCTGGCTATCTCATATAACAAAATTCTGCAATGCTTGTCTTTTTTGTATCTGGCTTATTTTACTTAGCACAGTGTTTTCAAGATTAATTCATGTTGTAGCATGTATTAAAATTTATTTTTTAAAGTTTGAGTACTAGTCCATTTTATGTGTGTTAGTTTTATGTTACTGAAACAACACCTGAGATAACTAACTTAGAAGAAAAAATTTATTTTGGCTCACAGTGTGGAGCTTCCAGTCCATGATTGGTTAGTACTGTTGCTTTGGACTTGTGGCATAGCAGCACATCACGGTAGAAACCTGTGGCAGAGCAGAAGTACTCATTTCATGGCTGAGAAATGAAAGAGAGGAAGAGAAAGGGACTGTGGTCCCATTGTCTCTTTTGAGGGCATGCTTCTGGTGACCTAAAGACCTCCCATTAGACCTTACTTTTTAAAGTTTCTACTATCTCCCAATAGTGCCACCCAAAGGGCCAAGTTTCCCCTTTAGGGGACTCTCAAAATCTACATGATAGTAGTAATGTATATTCCACATTTTGTTGATTCATGCATCTGCTTTAGTTGCTTCCACCTGTTGGCTAATATAAATAATGCTGATGACCCTCCATTTCATTATAGCAAAAGCTGAAGTCCTTTCAATGACTTACAATGCCTTGTAGGATTCGCCTGCCCCGTCCTGTCCCCATCTCTTTCCTACTACTCTTCACTTCTGCTCTTTCTTCTCCAGCCAAATCAACCTCTTTTCTGTTTCTTTGAAAAGGACAGCTACCTTCCTTTTTCAGTGCCTTTGCACCAAGTTTTTGTGAGTGAAGATGGGTTGGAAGAGTTTTTCTCCAGATAAATTCTAATTCACTTCTTTCAAAGTTCTACCCATTTCAATTAGGTCTACTCTTGACCTTAAAAATGCAACTTCCCCCACCCTCTCCAGAGTTTCCTTATCCTGACCTGTTTTTCCTCTACCATCCTTGAGATTTTCTAACACAATTTACTTATTTATTATGCATATTCTCTATTGTATTTCTCTTCCCACTAGAATATTAACAGATAAGAGCAGAGGTTTTGTTGTCTCTTTTATTCACTAATGCAGCCCTGTAAGAGAGATTAACACAGAACATTCCGTAAATATTCATTGAATTAAATAATAGGAATCTAAGGTTCACGAATTTTAAAAATTTGTCAAAGCCAGGCTACACAGTTGGTTCTCTGATCAGACTTCTTTCCTGCTGTGCTATGTGGATGTTAATATTGTAAAGTAGAATTATAACCTGGGTTTTCTCATTTCTCATAGAGGTGATTAGATACTTAAAAGGCCATAAGCTTAGAATGTAACCACACTTTACATTTTTACATTTCACTTTATGTTATTACAGAAAAATTTGGTGCCATTTGTAAGTAGTTATAATGCACATAAAGTTTGATCCAACACTTCTAATTTCTAAGAATCTCTAGACTTTCACTAGTGCATAAATTTGCTTGCTGACACAGAGGTTCATTGCAGTTTTATCTAAGAAAGCAAAACAAAATGCAGGTGCCGTAACTATTTAACCAAAGGAGGTGTGTTTAAATACGTTATAGTGTATTCTTACAATGGATTGTACTGCAGGCATTAAAAGAATGGACAGAGGGATCTAAATATACAAATGTAATGTATATTTGTAATACATTGTTAAGTAATAAAAGCAAGTCATAGGAACAGTTTGTATATATAATTAGTTTTTTTTTTTATAAGATGGATATGCACAGTGTTTTCAAGAATTCTCAGATATTTTTAAAGTTTTAGCTTTGTTTCTAATTCAAATTGTGCCACAGTCTGGCTGGGCACAAAATCACGAGCCACTCAAGCAGGAACAAACTTTATTTTTTGAAACTGCCGCCAAATGTCCGGTACGCGCCCGGGAAGATTTTCAGTCCACCTACGCGGCCTCCTCCCGGACCCGCAGAGAGAGCTCCTCCCCTGGAACTCCCTCCTACTGTACTTCCCCAACCAATGGGAACTCTCCAGGAGTCCTGTAGCTGGCCTAGGTGAACAGCAGGAGTCCAATATCCATATGAATGCAAATCTTAACATAATCATATCATCTCAATGGCTAGCTGGCGTCACCTTTCCACCAAAAATGCCATGCATCATATACTTGGCTCTTAGCATCTCCCCCCTTCTGTTTAAGTAACAAGCAATCTGGCTAGGGACCGTGCCTGTTAGGTTTGTCCAATTCAACATATGGTTCTTACCCATCATCAGAAAACTGACTTTTAGGTGTCAGCCTCCTGTCTTAGGTTGATACCACTGCAATTGGATCATACCCGTCACTGACTACCGGTCCAGCATATAGTCATACTTGTGGATAGGCCTATGTACCAGTGGGGGGGTGAGGTTCTTTGCCTCACCTCTGTTGGCCCCCAAATTTGGCCTTGGTGCCGGTGGGGGGGGTGAGGTTCTTTACCTCACCTCTGTTGGCCCCCAAAATTAGACCATCACTAGTAGAAGGGAGGAGGATACAGAAATGTCATGACACCAAGTCATTTAACGGCTCCTAGGAAAAATTGCATCACTGG